AAAACGCAAAGTAAATATATATTTATAATAGGTACTTAGTTCGCAACTTTGAATACTACCTCTAAGCCTATTATTCGCAGTGACGTCATCCAGTGACGTCACCCACTGACGTCACCCACTGACGTCATGCAATGACGTCATCCAGTGACGTCATTTCCTGACTTCGCCCTTACTGGTACATACCGGTACCCACCGGTATAGCGAAGCTTGGTCTTCCACTTGCTTCAACACTTGACGCAGCTTGACGAGGTGTCTTCTTCACAGCCGCTGTCTTTTCAACACGTTCAACTTCGCCATCTTGATTCTCCTTTACACGAAAAACCCATCGGCACCCGATGGCCTTGCGACCTTTCGGAAGAGGCACGATTTCCCACGTGTCGTTTCTCTGAAGCGAATCGAACTCCGAGTCACACGCTTCTTTCCACTTGCCGGAGTCGCTTGATTCCATCGCCGACTTGAATGTAGTCGGCGTTTCCCCCACTGAATCAACGATGTAGGCTGCTTCAAAATCCATTGCAGCCGCTGAAACATGCTCAAGCGACGGACCTCTGTATGTTCTTCGCTTGGGACTTGGAATGACGGTAGCTTTCTCAAGTGATTGAGTGCGCGTGTGTCTCTTGATGTTGCTCTTCGAAGACCTGGTGTCTTCGTTGTCATCGTCGCTCGAGTCCATGTCGTCGTCAGTTTTACCTTCTTCTTTTTGTTCGTCCTCATCATGATCATCAAACTCAACGACACTTGACTCATCGTTGTAGTTGCGCGGACCTTCATCAAACTTGTCTTCCATGAATGTGGCATCGCGACTGATCTTGATCGCTCCTGTTGACACTTCCTCAAATCGATATGACTTCTGGTGTTCGGCGTATCCCAGGAAACGACAGAGTGATGACTTGGAGTCGAACTTCGCGCGTTTGTCTTGAGGCACTTGAACATACGCGTGGCATCCAAACACTTTAAGGTTGGCCAGAATCGGTTTCTTCATCGTCCACACTTGATATGGAGACTTGTCTTGGTGAATGGCACGTGTTGGACAGCGGTTTCGAAGAAACATCGCCGTCATCACTGCTTCACCCCAGTAGCTCTTTCCCAGTCCAGCGTGTTCCATCATGCAACGCGCACACTCGACCAGCGTGCGATTCATTCTCTCAGCTACTCCGTTTAGCTGAGGAGTATATGGGGGTGTGAACCTTTGTTGTATTCCCCGTTCCGCGCAGAATCGTGCCAGCTTGTCGGACTTGTATTCACCCCCATTGTCGCTTTGAAGGTACTTCACGCGCTTTCCGGTTTGCGTTTCGGCCATCGCAGCGTATTCCATGAACTTCGCCGCAACTTCAGATTTGCTCTTGAGCAGATAGACGACACAGTATCTTGACTTGTCATCAATGAATGTCACGAAGTACCGTTTTCCACTGAAAGTTGCCATCGACATCGGTCCGCATACGTCGCTGTGAATCACTTCGAGGAGTTTGGAGGTGCGAGCTGTAGTGTTTGATTGGAAGCGCACTCGAGTCTGTTTTCCCAGAGCACAACCTTCACACACGTCCCACTTCTTCACCGAAGATATGTCGATGCCAATTCCAATGTTCTTCGTCACGATGCAATTGAGTCCATCGTGACCTATGTGGCCAAGCCGAAGGTGCCAGAGGTACGACTTGGTGCCCCCTTGACATCCCGACGACTTGGCTGCATTTGCTTGTTCCGGCGCCACTGGAGTCATTTGCAGCTTGAACAGTCCTTTACCTTCACGGGCACCAATTTTCCACTTGGTCCCTTTCGCTTCTCCATAGCACCCATCCTTCGTGAACGTCACTGGGCCGACATCCTTGGTGAAGCGGCCGACCGAGAACAGGTTTCTGGATAACTTTGGGATGTGCCACACGTTTGTGAGCACACCTTTCTTCATCCCTTGGGGTGTCTTCATCGACATGACAATGTCCCCACTGCCGATTGCTTGGACGATTCCGTCATCCGCGAGATGGACATCCACAGCGTCAAACCCCTTGTAGTTCCGCATGAACTTCTTGGAGCACGTCATGTGCTGCGTCGCCCCGGAGTCGACCAGCCAGATGTCGCTCGATTTCGCAGATGTCGTTTCACCGATCGAAAAGAGGTAGTCGCCCGAGTCTTCTTCTTGAGCGACGTTTGCACGTTGTGATCGATAGCGGTCGCCGCTGTCTTGAGCACGCTGTGGCCGGTGTCTCTCCGTGTTTTCTTGGATGCGCGAGGGGCACTCCGCCATCCAGTGACCAATCTTTCCGCAATTGTGGCACGGCCAGGACTTCTTCACTGGTCGCCCTTTGCGCTGATTGTCCCTTGTGATGAACGCTTGACCTTGCGAAGCTTCATCACCTTTACTTCCTTGCTCCTTCCGCTTCATTTCTTCATGAAGCAGTCGAGACGTCACGAGCTCCCAGCTAAGAGTGTCTGAGCGCGACTCCAAAGCTGTGATCAAGAATTGATACGAGTCACTCAGGCTGCCGAGGAGTGTGATCACCAGATCGTCCTCGCAGACTGGAGCCCCCACCGCTTCTAGCTGTTCCGCCAGCGTCTTGAGCTTGTTGATGTGTTCGAGCACATCGTCGCCTTCTTCCATCATTGTCGTGAAGAAGCGACGGCGCAAGAACAGCTTGTTGGCAAGACTCTTCTTCTCGAAGTGGTCTTCCAACCTTGACCATGCGTCGCATGCACCACTTGCCGACCGGACCAACGGTAGCTGGGAATCTTCCATGGCTAGACAGATCACTGCCATCGCCTTTCTTGACTTCCTCTTGTACGTCGCTTGGTCCAACTGAGTCTCGCACTGTTCCGCCTTGATCTCACCGCTGACGACCTCCCATAAGTTCCGCTCCTCAAGCACCATCCGCATCTTGAACTTCCAGGCGTGGAAGTTAGTTCCATCGAACTTGGAGATGCGGAGGGAGGAGGCGTCCATGGCAGCTAAGCTTGAATTGTTGGCGGTTTCAGAGTCTGACGAACTTGGGCTCATAACCTGATGAGCTTTAGACTTCTTGGTCCGAGTGCAAAACGCAAAGTGAATATATATTTATAATAGGTACTTAGTTCGCAACTTTGAATACTACCTCTAAGCCTATTATTCGCAGTGACGTCATCCAGTGACGTCACCCACTGACGTCACCCACTGACGTCATGCAATGACGTCATCCAGTGACGTCATTTCCTGACTTCGCCCTTACTGGTACATACCGGTACCCACCGGTATAGCGAAGCTTGGTCTTCCACTTGCTTCAACACTTGACGCAGCTTGACGAGGTGTCTTCTTCACAGCCGCTGTCTTTTCAACACCAACAAGCTGTTCTTGCGCCGTCGCTTCTTCACGACAATGATGGAAGAAGGCGACGATGTGCTCGAACACATCAACAAGCTCAAGACGCTGGCGGAACAGCTAGAAGCGGTGGGGGCTCCAGTCTGCGAGGACGATCTGGTGATCACACTTCTCGGCAGCCTGAGTGACTCGTATCAATTCTTGATCACAGCTTTGGAGTCGCGCTCAGACACTCTTAGCTGGGAGCTCGTGACGTCTCGACTGCTTCATGAAGAAATGAAGCGGAAGGAGCAAGGAAGTAAAGGTGATGAAGCTTCGCAAGGTCAAGCGTTCATCACAAGGGACAATCAGCGCAAAGGGCGACCAGTGAAGAAGTCCTGGCCGTGCCACAATTGCGGAAAGATTGGTCACTGGATGGCGGAGTGCCCCTCGCGCATCCAAGAAAACACGGAGAGACACCGGCCACAGCGTGCTCAAGACAGCGGCGACCGCTATCGATCACAACGTGCAAACGTCGCTCAAGAAGAAGACTCGGGCGACTACCTCTTTCGATCGGTGAAACGACATCTGCGAAATCGAGCGACATCTGGCTGGTCGACTCCGGGGCGACGCAGCACATGACGTGCTCCAAGAAGTTCATGCGGAACTACAAGGGGTTTGACGCTGTGGATGTCCATCTCGCGGATGATGGAATCGTCCAAGCAATCGGCAGTGGGGACATTGTCATGTCGATGAAGACACCCCAAGGGATGAAGAAAGGTGTGCTCACAAACGTGTGGCACATCCCAAAGTTATCCAGAAACCTGTTCTCGGTCGGCCGCTTCACCAAGGATGTCGGCCCAGTGACGTTCACGAAGGATGGGTGCTATGGAGAAGCGAAAGGGACCAAGTGGAAAATTGGTGCCCGTGAAGGTAAAGGACTGTTCAAGCTGCAAATGACTCCAGTGGCGCCGGAACAAGCAAATGCAGCCAAGTCGTCGGGATGTCAAGGGGGCACCAAGTCGTACCTCTGGCACCTTCGGCTTGGCCACATAGGTCACGATGGACTCAATTGCATCGTGACGAAGGACATTGGAATTGGCATCGACATATCTTCGGTGAAGAAGTGGGACGTGTGTGAAGGTTGTGCTCTGGGAAAACAGACTCGAGTGCGCTTCCAATCAAACACTACAGCTCGCACCTCCAAACTCCTCGAAGTGATTCACAGCGACGTATGCGGACCGATGTCGATGGCAACTTTCAGTGGAAAACGGTACTTCGTGACATTCATCGATGACAAGTCAAGATACTGTGTCGTCTATCTGCTCAAGAGCAAATCTGAAGTTGCGGCGAAGTTCATGGAATACGCTGCGATGGCCGAAACGCAAACCGGAAAGCGCGTGAAGTACCTTCAAAGCGACAATGGGGGTGAATACAAGTCCGACAAGCTGGCACGATTCTGCGCGGAACGGGGAATACAACAAAGGTTCACACCCCCATATACTCCTCAGCTAAACGGAGTAGCTGAGAGAATGAATCGCACGCTGGTCGAGTGTGCGCGTTGCATGATGGAACACGCTGGACTGGGAAAGAGCTACTGGGGTGAAGCAGTGATGACGGCGATGTTTCTTCGAAACCGCTGTCCAACACGTGCCATTCACCAAGACAAGTCTCCATATCAAGTGTGGACGATGAAGAAACCGATTCTGGCCAACCTTAAAGTGTTTGGATGCCACGCGTATGTTCAAGTGCCTCAAGACAAACGCGCGAAGTTCGACTCCAAGTCATCACTCTGTCGTTTCCTGGGATACGCCGAGCACCAGAAGTCATATCGATTTGAGGAAGTGTCAACAGGAGCGATCAAGATCAGTCGCGATGCCACATTCATGGAAGACAAGTTTGATGAAGGTCCGCGCAACTACAACGATGAGTCAAGTGCCGTTGAGTTTGATGATCAAGACGAGGACGAAGAAAAAGAAGAAGGTAAAACTGACGACGACATGGACTCGAGCGACGATGACAACGAAGACACCAGGTCTTCGAAGAGCAACATCAAGAGACACACGCGCACTCAATCACTTGAGAAAGCTACCGTCATTCCAAGTCCCAAGCGAAGAACATACAGAGGTCCGTCGCTTGAGCATGTGTCAGCGGCTGCAATGGATTTTGAAGCAGCCTACATCGTTGATTCAGTGGGGAAACGCCGACTACATTCAAGTCGGCGATGGAATCAAGCGACTCCGGCAAGTGGAAAGAAGCGTGTGACTCGGAGTTCGACTCGCTTCAGAGAAACGACACGTGGGAAATCGTGCCTCTTCCGAAAGGTCGCAAGGCCATCGGGTGCCGATGGGTTTTTCGTGTAAAGGAGAATCAAGATGGCGAAGTTGAACGTTTCAAGGCAAGACTTGTGGCCAAAGGATTCTCACAGAAATTCGTGATGAACTTTAGACTTCTTGGTCCGAGTGCAAAACGCAAAGTGAATATATATTTATAATAGGTACTTAGTTCGCAACTTTGAATACTACCTCTAAGCCTATTATTCGCAGTGACGTCATCCAGTGACGTCACCCACTGACGTCATGCAATGACGTCATCCAGTGACGTCATTTCCTGACTTCGCCCTTACTGGTACATACCGGTACCCACCGGTATAGCGAAGCTTGGTCTTCCACTTGCTTCAACACTTGACGCAGCTTGACGAGGTGTCTTCTTCACAGCTGCTGTCTTTTCAACAGTCTTCATACATCTTGATCGCTTCGTCGCTTGTCATCTCACCAAGTTCCCCCAAAAGCACTTTGAGCCATACTGCTTCTTTGGTTGCTTCGGAAAGCGCCATGTATTCTGCTTCTGTTGAAGATAGCGCGACCGTCCGTTGTTTCTGGCTTTTCCAGCTGATGCATCCTCCGCTCATCATGAACACATATCCGCTTGTACTTCGTCTTGACTCAATGTCGCCGGCCCAGTCTGCGTCGGTGTACCCGCAGATACGGCTTCCTTCTTCACGTGTAAACTCAAGACCATGATTGGGCGTTGCTTGCAGGTATCTCAGCACACGCTTCAAAGCTTGCCAGTGAGTCGGGCATGGGTCGGACGAGAACTGGGATAATGATCCCACTGCAGCAGCTAGATCCGGACGTGTGGCGACCATGAGATACATGATGCCTCCGACAGCACTTCGATATGGCACGTTGCACATGGTGTCTTCGTGCTTGCATTCTTGTTCACACATGTTCTTGGTTAGCTTCAGGCCGGGATCTTGAGGCGTCTTCACTGGCTTGCTGTTATCCATTCCGAACTTGGTTAACACGGACTTGAGGAACTTGGTTTGTTGTACAGTCACCATTCCCGTCTTACGGTCGTTCTTGATCTCCATGCCGAGAAAGTAATCGAGCTCACCGAGATCCGTCATTTCGAAGCGTTTGCTCAGCGTCATCTTGGTTGACTTGAGGAGTTCGTTGTTGCTGCTGGCCAGGATGAGATCATCGACGTAGAGTACCACGAGAATCATGTCTTGGTCGTCTCGCTTGATGTAGATGCAGTGGTCCGATTCGCACTTCTTGAATCCCATCTTGATCATGAACCCATCGATTGTTTGGTTCCACATGCGAGGCGATTGCTTCAAGCCGTAGAGTGATCTCTTTAGCTTGCACACATAGTCCGGCTGTGTTGCATCCAGGTATCCGTCCGGCTGGTCCATGTAGATGTCTTCGTTGAGGGAGCCGTTAAGAAACGCTGTCTTGACGTCCATCTGATGTAGCATCAGGCCGTACTTAGCCGCCATACTGAGCACCACACGAATCGATGTGAACTTGGCCACCGGTGCGAAAGTTTCTTCATAGTCAACTCCGAATTTCTGTGAGAATCCTTTGGCCACAAGTCTTGCCTTGAAACGTTCAACTTCGCCATCTTGATTCTCCTTTACACGAAAAACCCATCGGCACCCGATGGCCTTGCGACCTTTCGGAAGAGGCACGATTTCCCACGTGTCGTTTCTCTGAAGCGAGTCGAACTCCGAGTCACACGCTTCTTTCCACTTGCCGGAGTCGCTTGATTCCATCGCCGACTTGAATGTAGTCGGCGTTTCCCCCACTGAATCAACGATGTAGGCTGCTTCAAAACCCATTGCAGCCGCTGACACATGCTCAAGCGACGGACCTCTGTATGTTCTTCGCTTGGGACTTGGAATGACGGTAGCTTTCTCAAGTGATTGAGTGCGCGTGTGTCTCTTGATGTTGCTCTTCGAAGACCTGGTGTCTTCGTTGTCATCGTCGCTCGAGTCCATGTCGTCGTCAGTTTTACCTTCTTCTTTTTCTTCGTCCTCATCATGATCATCAAACTCAACGACACTTGACTCATCGTTGTAGTTGCGCGGACCTTCATCAAACTTGTCTTCCATGAATGTGGCATCGCGACTGATCTTGATCGCTCCTGTTGACACTTCCTCAAATCGATATGACTTCTGGTGTTCGGCGTATCCCAGGAAACGACAGAGTGATGACTTGGAGTCGAACTTCGCGCGTTTGTCTTGAGGCACTTGAACATACGCGTGGCATCCAAACACTTTAAGGTTGGCCAGAATCGGTTTCTTCATCGTCCACACTTGATATGGAGACTTGTCTTGGTGAATGGCACGTGTTGGACAGCGGTTTCGAAGAAACATCGCCGTCATCACTGCTTCACCCCAGTAGCTCTTTCCCAGTCCAGCGTGTTCCATCATGCAACGCGCACACTCGACCAGCGTGCGATTCATTCTCTCAGCTACTCCGTTTAGCTGAGGAGTATATGGGGGTGTGAACCTTTGTTGTATTCCCCGTTCCGCGCAGAATCGTGCCAGCTTGTCGGACTTGTATTCACCCCCATTGTCGCTTTGAAGGTACTTCACGCGCTTTCCGGTTTGCGTTTCGGCCATCGCAGCGTATTCCATGAACTTCGCCGCAACTTCAGATTTGCTCTTGAGCAGATAGACGACACAGTATCTTGACTTGTCATCAATGAATGTCACGAAGTACCGTTTTCCACTGAAAGTTGCCATCGACATCGGTCCGCATACGTCGCTGTGAATCACTTCGAGGAGTTTGGAGGTGCGAGCTGTAGTGTTTGATTGGAAGCGCACTCGAGTCTGTTTTCCCAGAGCACAACCTTCACACACGTCCCACTTCTTCACCGAAGATATGTCGATGCCAATTCCAATGTTCTTCGTCACGATGCAATTGAGTCCATCGTGACCTATGTGGCCAAGCCGAAGGTGCCAGAGGTACGACTTGGTGCCCCCTTGACATCCCGACGACTTGGCTGCATTTGCTTGTTCCGGCGCCACTGGAGTCATTTGCAGCTTGAACAGTCCTTTACCTTCACGGGCACCAATTTTCCACTTGGTCCCTTTCGCTTCTCCATAGCACCCATCCTTCGTGAACGTCACTGGGCCGACATCCTTGGTGAAGCGGCCGACCGAGAACAGGTTTCTGGATAACTTTGGGATGTGCCACACGTTTGTGAGCACACCTTTCTTCATCCCTTGGGGTGTCTTCATCGACATGACAATGTCCCCACTGCCGATTGCTTGGACGATTCCGTCATCCGCGAGATGGACATCCACAGCGTCAAACCCCTTGTAGTTCCGCATGAACTTCTTGGAGCACGTCATGTGCTGCGTCGCCCCGGAGTCGACCAGCCAGATGTCGCTCGATTTCGCAGATGTCGTTTCACCGATCGAAAAGAGGTAGTCGCCCGAGTCTTCTTCTTGAGCGACGTTTGCACGTTGTGATCGATAGCGGTCGCCGCTGTCTTGAGCACGCTGTGGCCGGTGTCTCTCCGTGTTTTCTTGGATGCGCGAGGGGCACTCCGCCATCCAGTGACCAATCTTTCCGCAATTGTGGCACGGCCAGGACTTCTTCACTGGTCGCCCTTTGCGCTGATTGTCCCTTGTGATGAACGCTTGACCTTGCGAAGCTTCATCACCTTTACTTCCTTGCTCCTTCCGCTTCATTTCTTCATGAAGCAGTCGAGACGTCACGAGCTCCCAGCTAAGAGTGTCTGAGCGCGACTCCAAAGCTGTGATCAAGAATTGATACGAGTCACTCAGGCTGCCGAGGAGTGTGATCACCAGATCGTCCTCGCAGACTGGAGCCCCCACCGCTTCTAGCTGTTCCGCCAGCGTCTTGAGCTTGTTGATGTGTTCGAGCACATCGTCGCCTTCTTCCATCATTGTCGTGAAGAAGCGACGGCGCAAGAACAGCTTGTTGGCAAGACTCTTCTTCTCGAAGTGGTCTTCCAACCTTGACCATGCGTCGCATGCACCACTTGCCGACCGGACCAACGGTAGCTGGGAATCTTCCATGGCTAGACAGATCACTGCCATCGCCTTTCTTGACTTCCTCTTGTACGTCGCTTGGTCCAACTGAGTCTCGCACTGTTCCGCCTTGATCTCACCGCTGACGACCTCCCATAAGTTCCGCTCCTCAAGCACCATCCGCATCTTGAACTTCCAGGCGTGGAAGTTAGTTCCATCGAACTTGGAGATGCGGAGGGAGGAGGCGTCCATGGCAGCTAAGCTTGAATTGTTGGCGGTTTCAGAGTCTGACGAACTTGGGCTCATAACCTGATGAGCTTTAGACTTCTTGGTCCGAGTGCAAAACGCAAAGTGAATATATATTTATAATAGGTACTTAGTTCGCAACTTTGAATACTACCTCTAAGCCTATTATTCGCAGTGACGTCATCCAGTGACGTCACCCACTGACGTCACCCACTGACGTCATGCAATGACGTCATCCAGTGACGTCATTTCCTGACTTCGCCCTTACTGGTACATACCGGTACCCACCGGTATAGCGAAGCTTGGTCTTCCACTTGCTTCAACACTTGACGCAGCTTGACGAGGTGTCTTCTTCACAGCCGCTGTCTTTTCAACACCAACAAGCTGTTCTTGCGCCGTCGCTTCTTCACGACAATGATGGAAGAAGGCGACGATGTGCTCGAACACATCAACAAGCTCAAGACGCTGGCGGAACAGCTAGAAGCGGTGGGGGGCTCCAGTCTGCGAGGACGATCTGGTGATCACACTTCTCGGCAGCCTGAGTGACTCGTATCAATTCTTGATCACAGCTTTGGAGTCGCGCTCAGACACTCTTAGCTGGGAGCTCGTGATGTCTCGACTGCTTCATGAAGAAATGAAGCGGAAGGAGCAAGGAAGTAAAGGTGATGAAGCTTCGCAAGGTCAAGCGTTCATCACAAGGGACAATCAGCGCAAAGGGCGACCAGTGAAGAAGTCCTGGCCGTGCCACAATTGCGGAAAGATTGGTCACTGGATGGCGGAGTGCCCCTCGCGCATCCAAGAAAACACGGAGAGACACCGGCCACAGCGTGCTCAAGACAGCGGCGACCGCTATCGATCACAACGTGCAAACGTCGCTCAAGAAGAAGACTCGGGCGACTACCTCTTTTCGATCGGTGAAACGACATCTGCGAAATCGAGCGACATCTGGCTGGTCGACTCCGGGGCGACGCAGCACATGACGTGCTCCAAGAAGTTCATGCGGAACTACAAGGGGTTTGACGCTGTGGATGTCCATCTCGCGGATGATGGAATCGTCCAAGCAATCGGCAGTGGGGACATTGTCATGTCGATGAAGACACCCCAAGGGATGAAGAAAGGTGTGCTCACAAACGTGTGGCACATCCCAAAGTTATCCAGAAACCTGTTCTCGGTCGGCCGCTTCACCAAGGATGTCGGCCCAGTGACGTTCACGAAGGATGGGTGCTATGGAGAAGCGAAAGGGACCAAGTGGAAAATTGGTGCCCGTGAAGGTAAAGGACTGTTCAAGCTGCAAATGACTCCAGTGGCGCCGGAACAAGCAAATGCAGCCAAGTCGTCGGGATGTCAAGGGGGCACCAAGTCGTACCTCTGGCACCTTCGGCTTGGCCACATAGGTCACGATGGACTCAATTGCATCGTGACGAAGGACATTGGAATTGGCATCGACATATCTTCGGTGAAGAAGTGGGACGTGTGTGAAGGTTGTGCTCTGGGAAAACAGACTCGAGTGCGCTTCCAATCAAACACTACAGCTCGCACCTCCAAACTCCTCGAAGTGATTCACAGCGACGTATGCGGACCGATGTCGATGGCAACTTTCAGTGGAAAACGGTACTTCGTGACATTCATCGATGACAAGTCAAGATACTGTGTCGTCTATCTGCTCAAGAGCAAATCTGAAGTTGCGGCGAAGTTCATGGAATACGCTGCGATGGCCGAAACGCAAACCGGAAAGCGCGTGAAGTACCTTCAAAGCGACAATGGGGGTGAATACAAGTCCGACAAGCTGGCACGATTCTGCGCGGAACGGGGAATACAACAAAGGTTCACACCCCCATATACTCCTCAGCTAAACGGAGTAGCTGAGAGAATGAATCGCACGCTGGTCGAGTGTGCGCGTTGCATGATGGAACACGCTGGACTGGGAAAGAGCTACTGGGGTGAAGCAGTGATGACGGCGATGTTTCTTCGAAACCGCTGTCCAACACGTGCCATTCACCAAGACAAGTCTCCATATCAAGTGTGGACGATGAAGAAACCGATTCTGGCCAACCTTAAAGTGTTTGGATGCCACGCGTATGTTCAAGTGCCTCAAGACAAACGCGCGAAGTTCGACTCCAAGTCATCACTCTGTCGTTTCCTGGGATACGCCGAGCACCAGAAGTCATATCGATTTGAGGAAGTGTCTACAGGAGCGATCAAGATCAGTCGCGATGCCACATTCATGGAAGACAAGTTTGATGAAGGTCCGCGCAACTACAACGATGAGTCAAGTGCCGTTGAGTTTGATGATCAAGACGAGGACGAAGAAAAAGAAGAAGGTAAAACTGACGACGACATGGACTCGAGCGACGATGACAACGAAGACACCAGGTCTTCGAAGAGCAACATCAAGAGACACACGCGCACTCAATCACTTGAGAAAGCTACCGTCATTCCAAGTCCCAAGCGAAGAACATACAGAGGTCCGTCGCTTGAGCATGTGTCAGCGGCTGCAATGGATTTTGAAGCAGCCTACATCGTTGATTCAGTGGGGGAAACGCCGACTACATTCAAGTCGGCGATGGAATCAAGCGACTCCGGCAAGTGGAAAGAAGCGTGTGACTCGGAGTTCGACTCGCTTCAGAGAAACGACACGTGGGAAATCGTGCCTCTTCCGAAAGGTCGCAAGGCCATCGGGTGCCGATGGGTTTTTCGTGTAAAGGAGAATCAAGATGGCGAAGTTGAACGTTTCAAGGCAAGACTTGTGGCCAAAGGATTCTCACAGAAATTCGTGATGAACTTTAGACTTCTTGGTCCGAGTGCAAAACGCAAAGTGAATATATATTTATAATAGGTACTTAGTTCGCAACTTTGAATACTACCTCTAAGCCTATTATTCGCAGTGACGTCATCCAGTGACGTCACCCACTGACGTCACCCACTGACGTCATGCAATGACGTCATCCAGTGACGTCATTTCCTGACTTCGCCCTTACTGGTACATACCGGTACCCACCGGTATAGCGAAGCTTGGTCTTCCACTTGCTTCAACACTTGACGCAGCTTGACGAGGTGTCTTCTTCACAGCTGCTGTCTTTTCAACAGTCTTCATACATCTTGATCGCTTCGTCGCTTGTCATCTCACCAAGTTCCCCCAAAAGCACTTTGAGCCATACTGCTTCTTTGGTTGCTTCGGAAAGCGCCATGTATTCTGCTTCTGTTGAAGATAGCGCGACCGTCCGTTGTTTCTGGCTTTTCCAGCTGATGCATCCTCCGCTCATCATGAACACATATCCGCTTGTACTTCGTCTTGACTCAATGTCGCCGGCCCAGTCTGCGTCGGTGTACCCGCAGATACGGCTTCCTTCTTCACGTGTAAACTCAAGACCATGATTGGGCGTTGCTTGCAGGTATCTCAGCACACGCTTCAAAGCTTGCCAGTGAGTCGGGCATGGGTCGGACGAGAACTGGGATAATGATCCCACTGCAGCAGCTAGATCCGGACGTGTGGCGACCATGAGATACATGATGCCTCCGACAGCACTTCGATATGGCACGTTGCACATGGTGTCTTCGTGCTTGCATTCTTGTTCACACATGTTCTTGGTTAGCTTCAGGCCGGGATCTTGAGGCGTCTTCACTGGCTTGCTGTTATCCATTCCGAACTTGGTTAACACGGACTTGAGGAACTTGGTTTGTTGTACAGTCACCATTCCCGTCTTACGGTCGTTCTTGATCTCCATGCCGAGAAAGTAATCGAGCTCACCGAGATCCGTCATTTCGAAGCGTTTGCTCAGCGTCATCTTGGTTGACTTGAGGAGTTCGTTGTTGCTGCTGGCCAGGATGAGATCATCGACGTAGAGTACCACGAGAATCATGTCTTGGTCGTCTCGCTTGATGTAGATGCAGTGGTCCGATTCGCACTTCTTGAATCCCATCTTGATCATGAACCCATCGATTGTTTGGTTCCACATGCGAGGCGATTGCTTCAAGCCGTAGAGTGATCTCTTTAGCTTGCACACATAGTCCGGCTGTGTTGCATCCAGGTATCCGTCCGGCTGGTCCATGTAGATGTCTTCGTTGAGGGAGCCGTTAAGAAACGCTGTCTTGACGTCCATCTGATGTAGCATCAGGCCGTACTTAGCCGCCATACTGAGCACCACACGAATCGATGTGAACTTGGCCACCGGTGCGAAAGTTTCTTCATAGTCAACTCCGAATTTCTGTGAGAATCCTTTGGCCACAAGTCTTGCCTTGAAACGTTCAACTTCGCCATCTTGATTCTCCTTTACACGAAAAACCCATCGGCACCCGATGGCCTTGCGACCTTTCGGAAGAGGCACGATTTCCCACGTGTCGTTTCTCTGAAGCGAGTCGAACTCCGAGTCACACGCTTCTTTCCACTTGCCGGAGTCGCTTGATTCCATCGCCGACTTGAATGTAGTCGGCGTTTCCCCCACTGAATCAACGATGTAGGCTGCTTCAAAACCCATTGCAGCCGCTGACACATGCTCAAGCGACGGACCTCTGTATGTTCTTCGCTTGGGACTTGGAATGACGGTAGCTTTCTCAAGTGATTGAGTGCGCGTGTGTCTCTTGATGTTGCTCTTCGAAGACCTGGTGTCTTCGTTGTCATCGTCGCTCGAGTCCATGTCGTCGTCAGTTTTACCTTCTTCTTTTTCTTCGTCCTCATCATGATCATCAAACTCAACGACACTTGACTCATCGTTGTAGTTGCGCGGACCTTCATCAAACTTGTCTTCCATGAATGTGGCATCGCGACTGATCTTGATCGCTCCTGTTGACACTTCCTCAAATCGATATGACTTCTGGTGTTCGGCGTATCCCAGGAAACGACAGAGTGATGACTTGGAGTCGAACTTCGCGCGTTTGTCTTGAGGCACTTGAACATACGCGTGGCATCCAAACACTTTAAGGTTGGCCAGAATCGGTTTCTTCATCGTCCACACTTGATATGGAGACTTGTCTTGGTGAATGGCACGTGTTGGACAGCGGTTTCGAAGAAACATCGCCGTCATCACTGCTTCACCCCAGTAGCTCTTTCCCAGTCCAGCGTGTTCCATCATGCAACGCGCACACTCGACCAGCGTGCGATTCATTCTCTCAGCTACTCCGTTTAGCTGAGGAGTATATGGGGGTGTGAACCTTTGTTGTATTCCCCGTTCCGCGCAGAATCGTGCCAGCTTGTCGGACTTGTATTCACCCCCATTGTCGCTTTGAAGGTACTTCACGCGCTTTCCGGTTTGCGTTTCGGCCATCGCAGCGTATTCCATGAACTTCGCCGCAACTTCAGATTTGCTCTTGAGCAGATAGACGACACAGTATCTTGACTTGTCATCAATGAATGTCACGAAGTACCGTTTTCCACTGAAAGTTGCCATCGACATCGGTCCGCATACGTCGCTGTGAATCACTTCGAGGAGTTTGGAGGTGCGAGCTGTAGTGTTTGATTGGAAGCGCACTCGAGTCTGTTTTCCCAGAGCACAACCTTCACACACGTCCCACTTCTTCACCGAAGATATGTCGATGCCAATTCCAATGTTCTTCGTCACGATGCAATTGAGTCCATCGTGACCTATGTGGCCAAGCCGAAGGTGCCAGAGGTACGACTTGGTGCCCCCTTGACATCCCGACGACTTGGCTGCATTTGCTTGTTCCGGCGCCACTGGAGTCATTTGCAGCTTGAACAGTCCTTTACCTTCACGGGCACCAATTTTCCACTTGGTCCCTTTCGCTTCTCCATAGCACCCATCCTTCGTGAACGTCACTGGGCCGACATCCTTGGTGAAGCGGCCGACCGAGAACAGGTTTCTGGATAACTTTGGGATGTGCCACACGTTTGTGAGCACACCTTTCTTCATCCCTTGGGGTGTCTTCATCGACATGACAATGTCCCCACTGCCGATTGCTTGGACGATTCCATCATCCGCGAGATGGACATCCACAGCGTCAAACCCCTTGTAGTTCCGCATGAACTTCTTGGAGCACGTCATGTGCTGCGTCGCCCCGGAGTCGACCAGCCAGATGTCGCTCGATTTCGCAGATGTCGTTTCACCGATCGAAAAGAGGTAGTCGCCCGAGTCTTCTTCTTGAGCGACGTTTGCACGTTGTGATCGATAGCGGTCGCCGCTGTCTTGAGCACGCTGTGGCCGGTGTCTCTCCGTGTTTTCTTGGATGCGCGAGGGGCACTCCGCCATCCAGTGACCAATCTTTCCGCAATTGTGGCACGGCCAGGACTTCTTCACTGGTCGCCCTTTGCGCTGATTGTCCCTTGTGATGAACGCTTGACCTTGCGAAGCTTCATCACCTTTACTTCCTTGCTCCTTCCGCTTCATTTCTTCATGAAGCAGTCGAGACGTCACGAGCTCCCAGCTAAGAGTGTCTGAGCGCGACTCCAAAGCTGTGATCAAGAATTGATACGAGTCACTCAGGCTACCGAGGAGTGTGATCACCAGATCGTCCTCGCAGACTGGAGCCCCCACCGCTTCTAGCTGTTCCGCCAGCGTCTTGAGCTTGTTGATGTGTTCGAGCACATCGTCGCCTTCTTCCATCATTGTCGTGAAGAAGCGACGGCGCAAGAACAGCTTGTTGGCAAGACTCTTCTTCTCGAAGTGGTCTTCCAACCTTGACCATGCGTCGCATGCACCACTTGCCGACCGGACCAACGGTAGCTGGGAATCTTCCATGGCTAGACAGATCACTGCCATCGCCTTTCTTGACTTCCTCTTGTACGTCGCTTGGTCCAACTGAGTCTCGCACTGTTCCGCCTTGATCTCACCGCTGACGACCTCCCATAGGTCCCGTTCCTCCAGCACCATCTGCATCTTGAACTTCCAGGCGTGGAAGTTAGTTCCATCGAACTTGGAGATGCGGAGGGAGGAGGCGTCCATGGCAGCTAAGCTTGAATTGTTGGCGGTTTCAGAGTCTGACGAACTTGGGCTCATAACCTGATGAACTTTAGACTTCTTGGTCCGAGTGCAAAACGCAAAGTGAATATATATTTATAATAGGTACTTAGTTCGCAACTTTGAATACTACCTCTAAGCCTATTATTCGCAGTGACGTCATCCAGTGACGTCACCCACTGACGTCACCCACTGACGTCATGCAATGACGTCATCCAGTGACGTCATTTCCTGACTTCGCCCTTACTGGTACATACCGGTACCCACCGGTATAGCGAGGCTTGGTCTTCCACTTGCTTCAACACTTGACGCAGCTTGACGAGGTGTCTTCTTTACAGCCGCTGTCTTTTCAACAATTCGGAGTTGACTATGAAGAAACTTTCGCACCGGTGGCCAAGTTCACATCGATTCGTGTGGTGCTCAGTATGGCGGCCAAGTACGGCCTAATGCTACATCAGATGGACGTCAAGACAGCGTTTCTTAACGGCTCCCTCAACGAAGACATCTACATGGACCAGCCGGACGGATACCTGGATGCAACACAGCCGGACTATGTGTGCAAGCTAAAGAGATCACTCTACGGCTTGAAGCAATCGCCTCGCATGTGGAACCAAACAATCGATGGGTTCATGATCAAGATGGGATTCAAGAAGTGCGAATCGGACCACTGCATCTACATCAAGCGAGACGACCAAGACATGATTCTCGTGGTGCTCTACGTCGATGATCTCATCCTGGCCAGCAGCAACAACGAACTCCTCAAGTCGACCAAGATGGCGCTGAGCAAACGCTTCGAAATGACGGATCTCGGTGAGCTCGATTACTTTCTCGGCATGGAGATCAAGAACGACCGTAATACGGGAATGGTGACTGTGCAACAAACCAAGTTTCTCAAGTCCGTGTTGACCAAGTTCGGAATGGATAACAGCAAGCCAGTGAAGACGCCTCAAGATCCCGGCCTGAAGCTAACCAAGAACATGTGTGAACAAGAATGCAAGCACGAAGAAACCATATGCAACGTGCCATATCGAAGTGCTGTCGGAGGCATCATGTATCTCATGGTCGCCACACGTCCGGATCTAGCTGCTGCAGTGGGATCATTATCCCAGTTCTCGTCCGACCCATGCCCGACTCACTGGCAAGCTTTGAAGAGTGTGCTGAGATACCTGCAAGCAACGCCCAATCATGGTCTTGAGTTTACACGTGAAGAAGGAAGCCGTATCTGCGGGTACACCGACGCAGACTGGGCCGGCGACATTGAGTCAAGACGAAGTACAAGCGGCTATGTGTTCATGATGAACGGAGGATGCATCAGCTGGAAAAGCCAGAAACAACGGACGGTCGCGCTATCTTCAACAGAAGCAGAATACATGGCGCTTTCCGAAGCAACCAAAGAAGCAGTATGGCTCAAGGTGCTTTTGGGGGAACTTGGTGAGATGACAAGCGACGAAGCGATCAAGGTGTATGAAGACAACCAAGGATCAATCGCTCTCGCCAAGAACCCGGAGTTCCATAAGAGAACAAAACACATCGACATACGCTACCATTTTGTGCGTGAGAAGGTGGAATCAGGTGAAGTCGTTTTGGAGAATTGCCCGACTCAAGATATGCTGGCAGACATGATGACCAAGCCGATCGCCGCTGTACAATTTGAAAACATTCGCGATCGACTTGGGATCCAAGGTACCGCAGCTAACGAGTCGAGAGGGAGTGTTGAAAAGACAGCGGCTGTGAAGAAGACACCTCGTCAAGCTGCGTCAAGTGTTGAAGCAAGTGGAAGACCAAGCTTCGCTATACCGGTGGGTACCGGTATGTACCAGTAAGGGCGAAGTCAGGAAATGACGTCATTGGATGACGTCAGTGGGTGACGTCATTGCATGACGTCACTGGATGACGTCACTGCGAATAATAGGCTTAGAGGTAGTATTCAAAGTTGCGAACTAAGTACCTATTACAAATATATATTCACTTTGCGTTTTGCACTCGGACCAAGAAGTCTAAAGTTCATCACACTCGAGTCTGTTTTCCCAGAGCACAACCTTCACACACGTCCCACTTCTTCACCGAAGATATGTCGATGCCAATTCCAATGTTCTTCGTCACGATGCAATTGAGTCCATCGTGACCTATGTGGCCAAGCCGAAGGTGCCAGAGGTACGACTTGGTGCCCCCTTGACATCCCGACGACTTGGCTGCATTTGCTTGTTCCGGCGCCACTGGAGTCATTTGCAGCTTGAACAGTCCTTTACCTTCACGGGCACCAATTTTCCACTTGGTCCCTTTCGCTTTTCCATAGCACCCATCCTTCGTGAACGTCACTGGGCCGACATCCTTGGTGAAGCGGCCGACCGAGAACAGGTTTCTGGATAACTTTGGGATGTGCCACACGTTTGTGAGCACACCTTTCTTCATCCCTTGGGGTGTCTTCATCGACATGACAATGTCCCCACTGCCGATTGCTTGGACGATTCCATCATCCGCGAGATGGACATCCACAGCGTCAAACCCCTTGTAGTTCCGCATGAACTTCTTGGAGCACGTCATGTGCTGCGTCGCCCCGGAGTCGACCAGCCAGATGTCGCTCGATTTCGCAGATGTCGTTTCACCGATCGAAAAGAGGTAGTCGCCCGAGTCTTCTTCTTGAGCGACGTTTGCACGTTGTGATCGATAGCGGTCGCCGCTGTCTTGAGCACGCTGTGGCCGGTGTCTCTCCGTGTTTTCTTGGATGCGCGAGGGGCACTCCGCCATCCAGTGACCAATCTTTCCGCAATTGTGGCACGGCCAGGACTTCTTCACTGGTCGCCCTTTGCGCTGATTGTCCCTTGTGATGAACGCTTGACCTTGCGAAGCTTCATCACCTTTACTTCCTTGCTCCCTCCGCTTCATTTCTTCATGAAGCAGTCGAGACGTCACGAGCTCCCAGCTAAGAGTGTCTGAGCGCGACTCCAAAGCTGTGATCAAGAATTGATACGAGTCACTCAGGCTGCCGAGAAGTGTGATCACCAGATCGTCCTCGCAGACTGGAGCCCCCACCGCTTCTAGCTGTTCCGCCAGCGTCTTGAGCTTGTTGATGTGTTCGAGTACATCGTCGCCTTCTTCCATCATTGTCGTGAAGAAGCGACGGCGCAAGAACAGCTTGTTGGCAAGACTCTTCTTCTCGAAGTGGTCTTCCAACCTTGACCATGCGTCGCATGCACCACTTGCCGACCGGACCAACGGTAGCTGGGAATCTTCCATGGCTAGACAGATCACTGCCATCGCCTTTCTTGACTTCCTCTTGTACGTCGCTTGGTCCAACTGAGTCTCGCACTGTTCCGCCTTGATCTCACCGCTGACGACCTCCCATAGGTCCCGTTCCTCCAGCACCATCTGCATCTTGAACTTCCAGGCGTGGAAGTTAGTTCCATCGAACTTGGAGATGCGGAGGGAGGAGGCGTCCATGGCAGCTAAGCTTGAATTGTTGGCGGTTTCAGAGTCTGACGAACTTGGGCTCATAACCTGATGAACTTTAGACTTCTTGGTCCGAGTGCAAAACGCAAAGTGAATATATATTTATAATAGGTACTTAGTTCGCAACTTTGAATACTACCTCTAAGCCTATTATTCGCAGTGACGTCATCCAGTGACGTCACCCACTGACGTCACCCACTGACGTCATGCAATGACGTCATCCAGTGACGTCATTTCCTGACTTCGCCCTTACTGGTACATACCGGTACCCACCGGTATAGCGAGGCTTGGTCTTCCACTTGCTTCAACACTTGACGCAGCTTGACGAGGTGTCTTCTTCACAGCCGCTGTCTTTTCAACACAATCGCCCACATTCCAGACATGCTCTTGGTCGTTGAAAGTCCGCATTCCAGCGAAACAGCAAACGCCACTCGATCATAGTCACAGTTGCTGTTGCCGTTGTAGCCTTGCCACTGAACTTGATTCGCTCCGCGTCCACGTGCATTGCCGCCGCGTCGAGCTCCCCGATTGTCTTCCTTCTGCTTGGTCCAGCACTTTTCCACCGTGTGCCCCAATTTTCCGCAGAACGTACACTGACGAACCTCACGCTCGGTACTGAAGGCCTTGGTCGCTTCTTCAGTTTTCACCGATGTCGTCTTTTTCCCTTGTCTCTTGATGTGCTCATTCGTCAGCACTCTCACGACGTCTTGCGTCCGCAGTTCCGCGCTGCTCATCTCCAAGTTCAGCACGACGTTCTCGTAGCTCTTGGGGAGGCTTCGCAACAAGCAGATCGCCACGTCCTCATCCTCCATCTTGGCGCCGATGCTGCTGAGCTTGGAGCTGATGTTGAGAACTTCATTGCAACGATGCATTACATTGCCGCCTTCCGCCATCTCCATGCTGAACAGCTGGCGCTTCAAGAAGATCCGTCCCGCCTTCTGCGATCCGCCGTAGAGAGTCTTCAACCGTGTCCACGCAACCCATGCCTCGTCGCAGTCATCAACCACGTGATGATAGTCCGCGCTCATGTGAATTAACATCAAGCCGAGCGCAATGTTGTTCGTCTTGACGTACTCATCACTGGCGCGAGGATCGGCGAAGGTGGGGGTGGTCTCCCGGTTGACCACGTGCCACGTCGACTTGGTCAGGAACACGCCACGCATCTAGAGGCTCCACGTCGCGTATTTGTCCCCATCGAATCTATCGATAGAGATCTTGGTGGCGGAATCTTGAGCAGAGAGATTTATGCCGTGCGTGTAAGAAGTAGGAGTTAAGTAAAGCAAATGACTTGTATATTACCGCGCACCAGACGCGTTTCGGCCCCCCGCCGGGGGCCTCATCAGTGGTTTGTCAATCTACAAGTGAGAACTATCCATACGTCTAGCTGCCGTACGACCTATAATAATGCATAGAATCCTAAAGAACATTCTAGACATACCCTATCATGGGTCGAATCTCTGGAGTCGAATCCAGTGCATCATGCACTTACAACACTCCCCCTCGACGACATGAGATGCAGACCACTTTGGTATCGACCCGCCTGTAATCCTCACTGCTGCATCCGTGCACCATGGGAATCTTGATTGAGTCTTGCCCCTGCGCTCCAGCCAACCTCGATGATACCGAGCGTTCCAGGTATTCCAGCTCCCCCATCGTCCAGCACCATGTCACATCTTGACATCTCGTAGTCGTCGTTCGCCTTGGATGTAGTTTCCACTTCTTCTTGACCACAAATACACTTGTCACCACTTGACTTGACTCTTCCTTCGATAGCACTCGCGCATTCAGACCATCTCGCGTCACCACCCTTGCACAAACCCTTTTCGACTGCACGCGCACCGTCAACGATCCCTGTCGATGAATTCTTCGGCGCCTTACTCGTGCATCGAGCGCCTTCTCTGACGCGGTGTCCCTCGCACAAGTTGGTCCTTGGTGAGGTGTCTGCAGCGAGCACTTGGGCTCATAACCTGTAAGAAGTAGGAGTTAAGTAAAGTAAATAACTTGTATATTACCGCGCACCAGACGCGTTTCGGCCCCCCGCCGGGGGCCTCATCAGTGGTTTGTCAATCTACATGTGAGAACTATCCATACGTCTAGCTGCCGTACGACCTATAATAATGCATAGAACCCTAAAGAACATTCTAGACATACCCTATCATGGGTCGAATCTCTGGAGTCGAATCCAGTGCATCATGCACTTACAACAGTGCGGTCCTTCAGATCACCCTGGGGTGAACTGCGAGTACTCTGACTTAGTTTGAACTCCTTACAGAACCCGCACCCCTCATTACACTATGGGGCTTTTCGGCTTGTAGGGCCTCCGGACGGCACCGGCCACCCATTGGTGGTGGCTCGTCTACATTATTAGCCTATCTCCGGCGCCCTGTAATCGAACCCCCACCAAGTTTCGATCCAGGTACCTCCCGGTCCCAGATCCAGTGGTCTACCACTCGGCCACTGGGGTCGGTAATCTTAAGCAGAGGACATCGTGCTTGGGCTCATAAACTGTTAAAGTCTTAAGAGCACTGGGCGAGAGAACGAAGCTTGAAAGGCTTGAAAGAAGTCTACACTGCGAAGTGAAGACGACTTGTGTAGGAGAAGGAATAATTGGAAGCAAATTTATTTGTGGGTTTTGTTAAAGCTACCTGATTTATCTCTGCACTGATTTATATGTTGTCCACATAAAAATCATGAATCATAAATCATGTAGGTCATCCAATCATCCTATGCGTCTAATCATTGGTAAAAACTCACCGTAATTACGCGGGATCGACTTGGACAGGTTTACGGTTCCCATGGTAGCTGATAGCAGTACCTCAACCGTCAACCCACAATACGCCCCCTCAATGCGAACACGCGTGTATGCCGAGCGCTGCCGTCAAGTCCTTGTGACGCGGTCCTGGCAGTCCCTTCGTCATGATGTCCGCCAACATAGTCGCAGTCTCACAGTACTCCAACTTGACATCACCACGCTTGACTTCATCAGGAATGTGATGGTATTTGATGTCGACGTGCTTGTCACAACCATGGTTGACAGGATTATTCGCCATCTTGATGCACGACTGATTGTCTTCCATGATCTTGAGCTCGGGTCCAGACTTGTCCTCTGCGGCATCCAGAATCTCGCACAGCAATCGATGCACCCACTTGCCTGATGAACTTTAGACTTCTTGGTCCGAGTGCAAAACGCAAAGTGAATATATATTTATAATAGGTACTTTGTTCGCAACTTTGAATACTACCTCTAAGCCTATTATTCGCAGTGACGTCATCCAGTGACGTCACCCAGTGACGTCACCCACTGACGTCATGCAATGACGTCATCCAATGACGTCATTTCCTGACTTCGTCCTTACTGGTACATACCGGTACCCACCGGTTTAGCGAAGCTTGGTCTTCCACTTGCTTCAACACTTGACGCAGCTTGACGAGGTGTCTCCTTCACAGCCGCTGTCTTTTCAACATTCTTCACAGCCGCTGTCTTTTCAACACTCCCTCTCGACTCGTTAGCTGCGGCACCTTGGATCCCAAGTCGATCGCGAATGTTTTCAAATTGTACAGCGGCGATCGGCTTGGTCATCATGTCTGCCAGCATATCTTGAGTCGGGCAATACTCCAAAACGACTTCACCTGATTCCACCCTCTTACGCACAAAATGGTAGCGTATGTCGATGTGTTTTGTTCTCTTATGGAACTCCGGGTTCTTGGCGAGAGCGATTGATCCTTGGTTGTCTTCATACATCTTGATCGCTTCGTCGCTTGTCATCTCACCAAGTTCCCCCAAAAGCACCTTGAGCCATACTGCTTCTTTGGTTGCTTCGGAAAGCGCCATGTATTCTGCTTCTGTTGAAGATAGCGCGACCGTCCGTTGTTTCTGGCTTTTCCAGCTGATGCATTCTCCGTTCATCATGAACACATAGCCGCTTGTACTTCGTCTTGACTCAATGTCGCCGGCCCAGTCTGCGTCGGTGTACCCGCAGATACGGCTTCCTTCTTCACGTGTAAACTCAAGACCATGATTGGGCGTTGCTTGCAGGTATCTCAGCACACGCTTCAAAGCTTGCCAGTGAGTCGGGCATGGGTCGGACGAGAACTGGGATAATGATCCCACTGCAGCAGCTAGATCCGGACGTGTGGCGACCATGAGATACATGATGCCTCCGACAGCACTTCGATATGGCACGTTGCACATGGTGTCTTCGTGACGAGAACTGGGATAATGATCCCACTGCAGCAGCTAGATCCGGACGTGTGGCGACCATGAGATACATGATGCCTCCGACAGCACTTCGATATGGCACGTTGCACATGGTGTCTTCGTGCTTGCATTCTTGTTCACACATGTTCTTGGTTAGCTTCAGGCCGGGATCTTGAGGCGTCTTCACTGGCTTGCTGTTATCCATTCCGAACTTGGTCAACACGGACTTGAGAAACTTGGTTTGTTGCACAGTCACCATTCCCGTCTTACGGTCGTTCTTGATCTCCATGCCGAGAAATAATCGAGCTCACCGAGATCCGTCATTTTGAAGCGTTTTCTCAGCGCCATCTTGGTCGACTTGAGGAGTTCGTTGTTGCTGCTGGCCAGGATGAGATCATCGACGTAGAGCACCACGAGAATCATGTCTTGGTCGTCTCGCTTGATGTAGATGCAGTGGTCCGATTCGCACTTCTTGAATCCCATCTTGATCATGAACCCATCGATTGTTTGGTTCCACATGCGAGGCGATTGCTTCAAGCCGTAGAGTGATCTCTTTAGCTTGCACACATAGTCCGGCTGTGTTGCATCCAGGTATCCGTCCGGCTGGTCCATGTAGATGTCTTCGTTGAGGGAGCCGTTAAGAAACGCTGTCTTGACGTCCATCTGATGTAGCATTAGGCCGTACTTGGCCGCCATACTGAGCACCACACGAATCGATGTGAACTTGGCCACCGGTGCAAAAGTTTCTTCATAGTCAACTCCGAATTTCTGTGAGAATCCTTTGGCCACAAGTCTTGCCTTGAAACGTTCAAATTCGCCATCTTGATTCTCCTTTACACGAAAAACCCATCGGCACCCGATGGCCTTGCGACCTTTCGGAAGAGGCACGATTTCCCACGTGTCGTTTCTCTGAAGCGAGTCGAACTCCGAGTCACACGCTTCTTTCCACTTGCCGGAGTCGCTTGATTCCATCGCCGACTTGAATGTAGTCGGCGTTTCCCCCACTGAATCAACGATGTAGGCTGCTTCAAAATCCATTGCAGCCGCTGACACATGCTCAAGCGACGGACCTCTGTACGTTCTTCGCTTGGGACTTGGAATGACGGTAGCTTTCTCAAGTGATTGAGTGCGCGTGTGTCTCTTGATGTTGCTCTTCGAAGACCTGGTGTCTTCGTTGTCATCGTCGCTCGAGTCCATGTCGACGTCAGTTTTACCTTCTTCTTTTTCTTCGTCCTCGTCTTGATCATCAAACTCAACGGCACTTGACTCATCGTTGTAGTTGCGCGGACCTTCATCAAACTTGTCTTCCATGAATGTGGCATCGCGACTGATCTTGATCGCTCCTGTTGACACTTCCTCAAATCGATATGACTTCTGGTGTTCGGCGTATCCCAGGAAACGACAGAGTGATGACTTGGAGTCGAACTTCGCGCGTTTGTCTTGAGGCACTTGAACATACGCGTGGCATCCAAACACTTTAAGGTTGGCCAGAATCGGTTTCTTCATCGTCCACACTTGATATGGAGACTTGTCTTGGTGAATGGCACGTGTTGGACAGCGGTTTCGAAGAAACATCGCCGTCATCACTGCTTCACCCCAGTAGCTCTTTCCCACTCCAGCGTGTTCCATCATGCAACGCGCACACTCGACCAGCGTGCGATTCATTCTCTCAGCTACTCCGTTTAGCTGAGGAGTATATGGGGGTGTGAACCTTTGTTGTATTCCCCGTTCCGCGCAGAATCGTGCCAGCTTGTCGGACTTGTATTCACCCCCATTGTCGCTTTGAAGGTACTTCACGCGCTTTCCGGTTTGCGTTTCGGCCATCGCAGCGTATTCCATGAACTTCGCCGCAACTTCAGATTTGCTCTTGAGCAGATAGACGACACAGTATCTTGACTTGTCATCAATGAATGTCACGAAGTACCGTTTTCCACTGAAAGTTGCCATCGACATCGGTCCGCATACGTCGCTGTGAATCACTTCGAGGAGTTTGGAGGTGCGAGCTGTAGTGTTTGATTGGAAGCGCACTCGAGTCTGTTTTCCCAGAGCACAACCTTCACACACGTCCCACTTCTTCACCGAAGATATGTCGATGCCAATTCCAATGTTCTTCGTCACGATGCAATTGAGTCCATCGTGACCTATGTGGCCAAGCCGAAGGTGCCAGAGGTACGACTTGGTGCCCCCTTGACATCCCGACGACTTGGCTGCATTTGCTTGTTCCGGCGCCACTGGAGTCATTTGCAGCTTGAACAGTCCTTTACCTTCACGGGCACCAATTTTCCACTTGGTCCCTTTCGCTTCTCCATAGCACCCATCCTTCGTGAACGTCACTGGGCCGACATCCTTGGTGAAGCGGCCGACCGAGAACAGGTTTCTGGATAACTTTGGGATGTGCCACACGTTTGTGAGCACACCTTTCTTCATCCCTTGGGGTGTCTTCATCGACATGACAATGTCCCCACTGCCGATTGCTTGGACGATTCCATCATCCGCGAGATGGACATCCACAGCGTCAAACCCCTTGTAGTTCCGCATGAACTTCTTGGAGCACGTCATGTGCTGCGTCGCCCCGGAGTCGACCAGCCAGATGTCGCTCGATTTCGCAGATGTCGTTTCACCGATCGAAAAGAGGTAGTCGCCCGAGTCTTCTTCTTGAGCGACGTTTGCACGTTGTGATCGATAGCGGTCGCCGCTGTCTTGAGCACGCTGTGGCCGGTGTCTCTCCGTGTTTTCTTGGATGCGCGAGGGGCACTCCGCCATCCAGTGACCAATCTTTCCGCAATTGTGGCACGGCCAGGACTTCTTCACTGGTCGCCCTTTGCGCTGATTGTCCCTTGTGATGAACGCTTGACCTTGCGAAGCTTCATCACCTTTACTTCCTTGCTCCTTCCGCTTCATTTCTTCATGAAGTAGTCGAGACGTCACGAGCTCCCAGCTAAGAGTGTCTGAGCGCGACTCCAAAGCTGTGATCAAGAATTGATACGAGTCACTCAGGCTGCCGAGGAGTGTGATCACCAGATCGTCCTCGCAGACTGGAGCCCCCACCGCTTCTAGCTGTTCCGCCAGCGTCTTGAGCTTGTTGATGTGTTCGAGCACATCGTCGCCTTCTTCCATCATTGTCGTGAAGAAGCGACGGCGCAAGAACAGCTTGTTGGCAAGACTCTTCTTCTCGAAGTGGTCTTCTAACCTTGACCATGCGTCGCATGCACCACTTGCCGACCGGACCAACGGTAGCTGGGAATCTTCCATGGCTAGACAGATCACTGCCATCGCCTTTCTTGACTTCCTCTTGTACGTCGCTTGGTCCAACTGAGTCTCGCACTGTTCCGCCTTGATCTCACCGCTGACGACCTCCCATAAGTTCCGCTCCTCAAGCACCATCCGCATCTTGAACTTCCAGGCGTGGAAGTTAGTTCCATCGAACTTGGAGATGCGGAGGGAGGAGGCGTCCATGGCAGCTAAGCTTGAATTGTTGGCGGTTTCAGAGTCTGACGAACTTGGGCTCATAACCTGATGAACTTTAGACTTCTTGGTCCGAGTGCAAAACGCAAAGTGAATATATATTTATAATAGGTACTTAGTTCGCAACTTTGAATACTACCTCTAAGCCTATTATTCGCAGTGACGTCATCCAGTGACGTCACCCACTGACGTCACCCACTGACGTCATGCAATGACGTCATCCAGTGACGTCATTTCCTGACTTCGCCCTTACTGGTACATACCGGTACCCACCGGTATAGCGAGGCTTGGTCTTCCACTTGCTTCAACACTTGACGCAGCTTGACGAGGTGTCTTCTTCACAGCCGCTGTCTTTTCAACAGACGCGCCTTGTACTTGTCAATTGATCCGTCCGCTTTGCGCTTGATCTTGAAGACCCACTTCGTGCCAATGGCGCTATGTCCTTTAGGTAGCTTGGCTGCGCGGAATACTTCACGAAGTCGCGTCGACTCAAGTTCCGCACGGATAGCTTCGCGCCGATGCACTTGATCAGGAACGCTCACCGCAGCTTCAAAAGTCGATGGCTCGGATAAGTCCACTGCTGTTTCGATGGCGTTCGCACTCGCACACCAAAACACAGGCGGACTCGATGCATCAGCATTCTTTGTTTCTTCATATTCTTCTTGTTGGGTCGTGTGATTGTCTGGCGCACTTGATTCTTCTAGTTCGAGCCGTTGACGCACTGTGCGCGTGGGTGGAGCTGGTACTCCTTCATCATGGGGACGACTCTTGCGCTTGCCTGTTTGCTTGTACTGCGCTTGACCTGGCGCTTCATCATCCAGATCGAGGGAGTCGAAGTCAAGGTCATCGGTATCTTCACCAGTGATCGGCGGCGAAAGTCCAAAGGCGGACTCGTCAAAGTTGACATCGGGACTGATGACCACCTGCCCCGCCTCAATGTCATAAACGCGATACGCTTTGGATGCTTCTTCGTAGCCCAAGAATATTCCAGTGCGAGCCTTGGGGTCCCACTTGAGTCGATTCTCTTTAGGCGTCAGTATGTAAACCTGACAACCGAACACCCGCATGTGCTTGACACTTGGCTTGGAGTTGTGGACGATCTCGAACGGAGTCTTGTGCATAACATTAGGCGAAGGCAGACGGTTCTTGATGTAGATTGCCGTCATTGCTGCTTCTGCCCAGAAGCACTTTTCCAACTTAGCATGGTGGAGCATGCTGCGACCAATTGTGACGATAGTCCGAATGGCGCGCTCTGCCGTGCCGTTGGTCTGGTGTGCATATGGCACCGTCGTCTGCTGCTCAATGCCTTCATCTTCGTAGAATTCTTGAAGCGAGTTGGTTGCGAACTCGCGGGCTCCGTCGTGGCAGACGAGCTTGACCTTCTTGCCAAACTGCGCTTGCACCATCTTGATGTATCGTGCGATGTAGTTTTCACTCTCCGACTTCACACGTAGACAGAAGCCCTTCATGCATCCACTGGCTTCGTCAACGATCAGCAGTAGGTACTTGCTGCCACCCAGAGAATTCATCTCCATGGGTCCGCAGATGTCGACGTGAAGTAGCTCGAAGGTGTCGTATCTGCGATTGTCCTGGTTCCCTGGGAATGGTTTTTGGACCATTTTCCCTTGTTGACATCCTCGACTGCGCTTGACCTACTTGACGTGAGAGGTACCTTTACATCCTTGATCATGTTCGTGGCCACCATTTTGCGAAGCACATCAGCTGGAGCGTGTCCCATCCGCGCATGTAAGTCGACATCGTAGTTTCCGCTTGTTGTCGCATTGGCCGATCGATGAGCTGTGTGAATCCAGTAAAGGCCATCCACAAGATCTGCTGTTGCCACCACTTGTTGCGAGCCTTTGCGAGCGACAAACATCTTGGTCCCGTCGAACACGACTTGAAACTTGCCGTGCTTGTTGATCTGCGGTACCGAAAGTAGATTCTTGCTCGTGCTTGGCACGTAAAGGACGTTCTTGATCTCGATCTCGTGCTCTTCACCGTCGGGCAGAACCACCTTTTCAAAGATGGTTCCAACCCCCTTGATGGCCACTTTGTTGCCATCCACCACCAAGATTTTACCGTTGTTGCGCTTGTTCAGTCTTGCAAACTTGGTCTTGTCGTGGCATATGTGTTGTGTTGCACCACTGTCGACTGCCCACATTCCGGCCACGTCCTTCTTCGCTGAGAGGCCACACTCTATCGAAACTGCAAACGCTACTTGATCGTAGGCGCTGCCTTCATCACGATATTGTCCCCACTAGACACTGTTTGCCCCGCGTCCACGACCATTGCCGCCGCTTCGGGCTCCTCGACTTTCATTCTTCTGCTTGGTCCAACAGCGATCGACGGTGTGTCCCACCTTCCCACATTAGGTATTGAGGGTTACCGATACAATCCGAACTTAAGCGTAGTTTTTACGGGATAGTTTTAACGTCGGTAATTACCTCAGAGATGATTGGACGCTTAGGATGATTAGACGTGTGTAAAATAGGTTAATTAGATGCACCATGTGATTGGATGCAGTCTAGAGTAGGCAGAGTTAAGACCTAAGAATCAATCACTCTCCAATCTTCCATCTACCCCCCCAAGTGTCTTCTCCGGTCTTCCGAGTGGACTCCCAGCATCACTCCCGGTTCTGGTCGTCAAGCTTCACACCTATTAACAGGTTATGAGCCCAAGCACGATGTCGTCTGCTCATGATGCCACCACCAAGATCTCCATTGACAAGTTCGACGGCGACAACTACGCGACGTGGAGCCGCTACATGCGTGGCGTGTTCCTGACTAAGTCGACGTGGTACGTGGTGAACCGGGAGACGTCGCCGACCTACGCGGACGATCGCGCCATGGACGTCTACGTCAAGGCCAACAACATCGCTTTCGGACTTATGTTGCTGCACATGGACGCAGACTACCATCACATCGTCGATGACTGTGAAGAGGCGTGGGTCGCGTGGGCGCGTTTGAAGACGCTGTACGGCGGGTCGCAGAAGGCTGGACGCATCTACTTGAAGCTCCAGCTGTTCAGCATGGAGATGGCGGAAGGCGGCAATGTGATGCATCATTGCAACAAAGCCCTCAACATCAGCGCGAAGCTCAGCAGTATCGGCGCCAAGATGGAGGACGAGGAAGTGGCGATCTGCTTGTTGCGCAGCCTCCCCAAGAGCTACGAGAACGTCGTTCTCAACTCGGAGATGAGCAGCGCGGAACTGCGATCGCGAGACGTCGTGAGAGTGCTCACGAATGAGCACATCAAGAGGCAAGGTGACAAGACGATATCGGTGGAGACTGGAGACGCGGAGAAGGCGTTCAGTGCTGAGCGTGAACCTCGCCAGTGTACGTACTGCGGCAAATTGGGGCACACGGCGGAGCGGTGCTGGACCAAGAAGAAGGACGAAAACATAGGAGGAGCTCTACGCGCCGGCAACAATGCTCGTAGACGCGGAGCCAACAACGTTCAGTGGCGAACCAACAGCAACTACGACGACGACTACGATCGAGTTGCGTTCGCGGTTTCGTTGGAGGCTGGATTTTCAACGGGCAAGAATATGCCAGGGATGTGGGCAGTCGACAGCGGTGCGACGCATCACATCTGCAACGGCAAGGCCAAGTTTGCAAGCCTGAATGAGCGAGAGGAAGGCGAACTATCAGTGGCTGATGGCAGCAAGGCTGCTATCAAGGATGTGGGAACCATCATGGAACGGGTGGTTCTGCCCAATGGTGACGAACGCGACATCGAGATCAAGGACGCACTGTTCGTACCAAGTATGAGCAAGAATCTGCTTTCGGTGCCACAGATCAACAAGGGTGGCAGGTTCCAAGTCGTGTTCGATGGGTCCAAGATGCAAGCGAAGCGCAAGAATTCCACACAAGTCGTGGCAACAGCGGATCTCGTCGATGGACTTTACTGGCTGCGGACTCCTCAACGATCGGCAAATGCAGCAACACGCAATGGGACTATCGACTTGCATGCGCGCATGGGTCATGCACCCTTCGAAGTTCTGCGCAAGATGGTGGCCACTGGCATGATCAAGGACGCCAAGGCACCTCTCAACTCGACTGGTCCAAGTGTGTGTCGCGGTTGCCAGCAAGGAAAGATGGTCCAAAAAATATTCCCAACCAACCGTGACAAACGCCAATATGGTGTGTTCGAGTTGCTGCACTTCGACATCTGCGGGCCAATGGAACAAGTCTCGATCGGCGGCAGCAGATACTTACTGCTTGTGGTTGACGAAGCCAGCGGTTGCATGAAGGGCTTCTGTCTGCGGTCCAAGTCTGAGAGTGAAGTCTGTATCAAGAACCACATCATCAAGATTCAAACTCAGTTCGGCACGAAGATCAAGTTTGTTCGGCACGATGGAGCGCATGAGTTGCGACCAACTCCATCAAGACCTTCTACGAAGATCATGGTATCGAACAACAGATCACATTGCCGTATGCACACCAGACCAACGGCACCGCAGAACGCGCGATAAGGACCATCGTCACGATCGGACGCAGCTTGTTGCATCGTGCAAAGCTGGAGAAGTGTTTCTGGGCTGAAGCGGCAATGACGGCGATCTACATCAAGAACCGCCTGCCTTCATCCAAGATCGACCACAAGACTCCGTTCGAGATCGTGTACAAGTCGAAACCAAGTGTCAAGCACATGCGCGTGTTTGGATGTCGGGCGTTTATCCTGACACCAAGGGAGAAGCGATTGAAGTGGGACCCGAAGGCTCGTGAAGGGATGTTTATGGGCTACGAAGAAGCGTCAAAAGCTTATCGAGTGTACGACATTGAGGCGGGCCAAGTGGTGATCAGTCGTGACATCACCTTCGACGAATCGACTTTTGACTTTTCGATGGACCGACCAAGTGACGATGATGAAGATGCGGAGTTGGACCTCGACCTCCTGGCGATCAACGAGGACGACGTGCATCAAACCGTCTACAAGCAAACTGGCAAGCGCAAGAGTGAAGCAAGACCCGGCATGTCACGTTCAGCTCGCCCTCGAACTGGGTTGGAACAAGCAAGTGCGCCGGAACACGTCTCCAACCGTCACCAGAAACGACGATCAAGTGCTCCAGAAACGATGTCTGATGAAGAAGAAGATGCAAACGTCTACGATCAAGATGACGACTCGACGCCTCCAACATTTTGGCGTGCAAGCGCAAACGCAGTGGAAGCAACGGACCTAGCAGAACCTGTGACTTTTCAAGACGCGATCAATTGTCCTGATCAAGCTCACTGGCGAAATGCTGTGAAGGCGGAACTCAAGTCGATGCATCTTCGTGGAGTTTTCCGTGCGGCAAAACTGCCAAGAGGCCAAGGCGCGATCGGCACCAAGTGGGTGTTCAAGATCAAGCGCAAAGCGGATGGATCGATGGATGGCGACTTCGACTGTCTCGAGTTGGTGAAGGCGATCTACGGTCTCAAGCAAGCTTCACGTGTGTGGAACGAGACTTTCGACGAGTTCGTATGCTCTATCGGTTTCAAAGTGTCGGCGTTCGACCCATGTCTCTACATCAAGGTTGTCGACGGTCACTGTGTGCTCGTGCTGGTCTACGTGTATGACGTGTTGGTCACCGGCAGCTCGCTCGAGTTGATTGCGCAGACGAAGGCCGACCTCAAGACGCGTTTCGAGATGACCGACAGTGGCAAGTGTACTTTTGTACTGGGCATCGAACTGGTGGACGAATCGGATGGCAGCGTGACGATGTGCCAGCGACGGTGTGTCAACGACATCCTCAAGCGCTTCGGCATGGATGAGTGCAAGGCCACAGCAAGTCCGGTCGACTTGAGCACTCGGCTTGTCGCAAGCAGCGAATCGGCCAAGATCGACGTTCCGTTTCGTGAAGCTGTGGGAGCTTTGATGCACTTGACGACTGCGACGCGCCCGGACATTGCGTATGCTGTAGGGTACGTCTCGCGCTTCATGGAGAATCCGCAGCAAGAACATTGGACGGCAGTGAAGCGCAACTTTCGTTACTTTCAAGGAACCAAGTCGCACGAACTCCGCTTCCAGCCAAGCGACAAGATCGACTTTCGTGGCTACTCGGACGCGGACTGGGCCGGCGACCACGCTGATCGCAAGTCGACTTCAGGTTACACTTTCATGCTGATGGGTGCTCCTGTGAGTTGGGGAAGCAAGAAGCAGTCAAGTGTGTCGCTGTCGACGAGTGAAGCGGAATACATCGCACTGAGTCTGGCCATCCAGGAAGGCAAGTGGGTGCATCGCCTGCTATGCGAGATTTTGGCGGCCGCAAACGAACCAGGACCGGACCTCGTCATCCGTGAAGACAATCAGTCGTGCATCAAGACGACGAATAATCCTGTCAACCATGGCCGTGCCAAGCACGTCGACATCAAGTACCATCACATCCATGATGAGGTCAAGCGCGGTGAAGTGCAGCTCGAGTATTGCGAGACTTCCGTGATGATGGCGGACATCATGACCAAGGGACTTTCGGGACCTCGCCACAAGGACTTGACGACGGCTCTCGGCATTCGTGCGAGTTCGGATTGAGGGGGCGTGTTGACGGTCATCGGTTTCCTACCAGTATTGGTAACCGTGATCGGTCCAATCCGAACCGCCTGTTCAGCTTAGTATTTACGACGTAGTTCTTACGGTAATTACCATAGTTGATTAGACGCGTAGGATGATGAGACGCTTCACATGATTTATATGTGCACCACATATAAATCATGTAGTAAGTAGTAAGCCCCGACAATCAATCACTTTCCAATCTTCCATCTACCTCCCAAGTGTCTTCTCCGGTCTTCCGAGTGGACTCCCAGCATCATTCCCGGTTTTGGTCGTCAAGCTTTACACCTATCAACAGGTTATGAGCCCAAGCACGATGTCCTCTACCCAAGATGCCACCACCAAGATCTCCATTGACAAGTTCGACGGCGACAACTACGCGACGTGGAGCCGCTACATGCGTGGCGTGTTCCTGACTAAGTCGGCGTGGCACGTGGTGAACCGGGAGACGTCGCCGACCTACGCGGACGATCGCGCCATGGACGACTACGTCAAGGCTAACAACATCGCTTTCGGACTGATGTTGCTGCACATGGACGCAGACTACCATCACATCGTCGATGACTGTGAAGAGGCGTGGGTCGCGTGGGCGCGTTTGAAGACGCTGTACGGCGGGTCGCAGAAGGCTGGACGCATCTACTTGAAGCGCCAGCCGTTCAGCATGGAAATGGCGGAAGGCAGCACTGTGATGCATCACATTGCCATGAAGTCCTCAGCATCGGCGCGAAGCTCAGCAGCATCGGCGCCAAGATGGAGGACGAGGACGTGGCGATCTGCTTGTTGCGCAGCCTCCCCAAGAGCTACGAGAACGTCGTTCTCAACTTGGAGATGAGCAGCGCGGAACTGCGGACGCAAGACGTCGTGAAAGTGCTGACGAATGAGCACATCAAGAGGCAAGGTGACAAGACGACATCGGTGAAGACTGAAGACGCGGAGAAGGCGTTCAGTGCCGAGCGTGAACCTCGCCAGTGTGCATACTGCGGAAAATTGGGGCACACGGCGGAGCGGTGCTGGACCAAGCAGAAGGACGAAAATCAAGGTGGAGCTCGACGCGGCGGCAACAATGCTCGTGGACGCGGAGCCAACAACGTTCAGTGGCGAACCAACAGTAACTACGACGACAACTACGATCGAGTTGCGTTCGCGGTTTCGTTGGAGGCTGGATTTTCAACGGGCAAGAATATGCCAGGGATGTGGGCAGTCGACAGCGGTGCGACGCATCACATCTGCAACGACAAGGCCAAGTTTGCAAGCCTGAATGAGCGAGATGAAGGCGAACTATCGGTGGCTGATGGCAGCAAAGGCTGCGATCAAGGGATGTGGGAACCATCATGGAACGGGTAGTTCTGCCCAATGGTGACGAACGCGACATCGAGATCAAGGAAGCACTGTTCTGGCCAAGTATGAGCAAGGATCTGCTTTCGGTACTGTAGATCAACAAGGGTCGCAAGTTCCAAGTCGTGTTCGATGGGTCCAAGATGCAAGTAACGCGCAAGAATTCCAAGCAAGTTGTGATGACAGCGGATCCCGTCGACGGAATTTACTGGCTGCGGTCTCCTCAACGATCGACTGATGCAGCGACACACAATGGGGCCATCGACTTTCGCACGCGCATGGGTCATGCAACCTTCGAAGTTCTGCGCAAGATGGTGGCCACCGGCATGATCAAGGACGCCAAGGCACCTCTCAACTCGACTGGTCCAAGTGTGTGTCGCGGTTGCCAGCAAGGAAAGATGGTCCAAAAACCATTCCCAACCAACCGTGACAAACGCCAATATGGTGTGTTCGAGTTGCTGCACTTCGACATCTGCGGGCCAATGGAACAAGTCTCGATCAGCAGCAGCAGATACTAGCTGCTTGTGGTCGACGATGCCAGCGGGAGCATGAAGGTCTTCTGTCTGCGGTCCAAGTCTGAGAGTGAAGACTGCATCAAGAACCACATTATCAAGATTCAGACTCAGTTCGGCACGAAGATCAAGTTTGTTCGGCATAATGGAGCGCATGAGTTCGCGAACAACTCGATCAAGATCTTCTACGAAGATCATGGTATCGAACAACAGATCACGGTGCCGTATGCACACCAGACCAACGGCACCGCAGAACGCGCGATAAGGACCATCGTCACGATCGGACGCAGCTTGTTGCATCATGCAAAACTGGAGAAGTGTTTCTGGGCTGGAGCGGCAATGACGGCGATCTACATCAAGAACCGCCTGCCTTCATCCAAGATCGACCACAAGACTCCGTTCGAGATCGTGTACAAGTCGAAACCAAGTATCAAGCACATGCGCGTGTTTGGATGTTGGGCGTTCATCCTGACACCAAGGGAGAAGCGATTGAAGTGGGACCCGAAGGCTCGTGAAGGGATGTTTATGGGCTACGAAGAAGCGTCAAAAGCTTATCGAGTGTACGACATTGAGGCGGGCCAAGTGGTGATCAGTCGTGACATCACCTTCGACGAATCGACTTTTGACTTTTCGATGGACCGACCAAGTGACGATGATGAAGATGCGGAGTTGGACCTCGACCTCCTGGCGATCAACGAGGACGACGTGCATCAAACCGTCTACAAGCAAACTGGCAAGCGCAAGAGTGAAGCAAGACCCGGCATGTCACGTTCAGCTCGCCCTCGAACTGGGTTGGAACAAGCAAGTGCGCCGGAACACGTCTCCAACCGTCACCAGAAACGACGATCAAGTGCTCCAGAAACGATGTCTGATGAAGAAGAAGATGCAAACGTCTACGATCAAGATGACGACTCGACGCCTCCAACATTTTGGCGTGCAAGCGCAAACGCAGTGGAAGCAACGGACCTAGCAGAACCTGTGACTTTTCAAGACGCGATCAATTGTCCTGATCAAGCTCACTGGCGAAATGCTGTGAAGGCGGAACTCAAGTCGATGCATCTTCGTGGAGTTTTCCGTGCGGCAAAAACTGCCAAGAGGCCAAGGCGCGATCGGCACCAAGTGGGTGTTCAAGATCAAGCGCAAAGCGGATGGATCGATGGATGGCGACTTCGACTGTCTCGAGTTGGTGAAGGCGATCTACGGTCTCAAGCAAGCTTCACGTGTGTGGAACGAGACTTTCGACGAGTTCGTATGCTCTATCGGTTTCAAAGTGTCGGCGTTCGACCCATGTCTCTACATCAAGGTTGTCGAAGGTCACTGTGTGCTCGTGCTGGTCTACGTGTATGACGTGTTGGTCACCGGCAGCTCGCTCGAGTTGATTGCGCAGACGAAGGCCGACCTCAAGACGCGTTTCGAGATGACCGACAGTGGCAAGTGTACTTTTGTACTGGGCATCGAACTGGTGGACGAATCGGATGGCAGCGTGACGATGTGCCAGCGACGGTATGTCAACGACATCCTCAAGCGCTTCGGCATGGATGAGTGCAAGGCCACAGCAAGTCCGGTCGACTTAAACACTCGGCTTGTCGCAAGCAGCGAATCGGCCAAGATCGACGTTCCGTTTCGTGAAGCTGTGGGAGCTTTGATGCACTTGACGACTGCGACGCGCCCGGACATTGCGTATGCTGTAGGGTACGTCTCGCGCTTCATGGAGAATCCGCAGCAAGAACATTGGACGGCGGTGAAGCGCAACTTTCGTTACTTTCAAGGAACCAAGTCGCACGAACTCCGCTTCCAGCCAAGCGACAAGATCGACTTTCGTGGCTACTCGGACGCGGACTGGGCCGGCGACCACGCTGATCGCAAGTCGACTTCAGGTTACACTTTCATGCTGATGGGTGCTCCTGTGAGTTGGGGAAGCAAGAAGCAGTCAAGTGTGTCGCTGTCGACGAGTGAAGCGGAATACATCGCACTGAGTCTGGCCATCCAGGAAGGCAAGTGGGTGCATCGCCTGCTATGCGAGATTTTGGCGGCCGCAAACGAACCAGGACCGGACCTCGTCATCCGTGAAGACAACCAGTCGTGCATCAAGACGACGAAGAATCCGGTGAATCATGGCCGCGCCAAGCACATCGACATCAAGTACCATCACATCCATGATGAGGTCAAGCGCGGTGAAGTGCAGCTCGAGTATTGCGAGACTTCCGTGATGATGGCGGACATCATGACCAAGGGACTTTCGGGACCTCGCCACAAGGACTTGACGACGGCTCTCGGCATTCGTGCGAGTTCGGATTGAGGGGGCGTGTTGACGGTCATCGGTTTCCTACCAGTATTGGTAACCGTGACCGGTCCAATTCGAACCGCCTGTTCAGCTTAGTATTTACGACGTAGTTCTTACGGTAATTACCATAGTTGATTAGACGCGTAGGATGATGATACGCTTCACATGATTTATATGTGCACCACATATAAATCATGTAGTAAGTAGCAAGCCCCGATAATCAATCACTTTCCAATCTTCCATCTACCCCCCAAGTGTCTTCTCCGGTCTTCCAAGTGGACTCCCAGCATCCCTCCCAGTTTCGGTCGTCAAGCTTTACACCTATCAACAAGGACCTTGTTGCAGTGATGCATGACGTTGGCGCCTTCGTCCATCTTCATGCTGAAGAGTTGACGCTTGAGGAAGATCCTTCCCGCTTTCTGGGATCCACCGTACAGCACCTTCAGGCTCTGCCACGCAACCCACGCTTCTTCGCACTTGTCGACCACATGGTGGTAATCCGCACCCATGTGCAGCAACATCGTTCCAGACGCGATGTTGTTGGCCTTGACGTAGTCGTCCTGCGCTCGAGGGTCCACGAACGTCGGGGAGCTCTCCTGGTTGACAGCATGCCACACTGACTTTGTCAGGAACACGCCACGCATGTATCGACTCCATGTCGCATAGTTGTCCCCATCGAACTTTTCGATGAGGGCGTTGGAGAATGCGTGGCCGGCAGAAGACATTGCGCTTGGGCTCATAACCTGTTGAAGGTATGGCACGGAAGTGACGAGAAGACCGGAAGAGACCGGAGGGAGCGAAGAGGCTTGAGGAGCGGTGCAGAGAAGACTTGCTCGGCAGAAGGGGAATCCGAAAGTGATTGATCATCGGGGCTTACTACTTACTACATGATTTATTTGTGGTGCACATATAAATCATGTGAAGCGTATCGTCATCCTACGCGTCTAATCAACTATGGTAATTACCGTAAGAACTACGTCGTAAATACGAAGCTGAAGAGGCGGTTCGGATTGACCGGTCACGGTTACCAACACTGGTAGGAAACCGATGACCGTCAACAACTGTGTAGTTCTTATGGGATCGTTTTTACGTCGGTAATTTTGCAGGAAAGATTAGAATAGCAGGGTGATTAGACGCGCCGACCGACTTATATGTGGACGCATGTAAATCAGGGCGTAGGCAGATAAGCTCCGATAATCAATCACTTTCCAGTCTCCCATCTACTGCCCAAATGTCTTCTCTCGTCTTCCGAGTGGACTTTTCAGCATCCTTCCCAGTTTCGGTCATCAATCTTCGCACCTTTCAACAGGTTATGAGCCCAAGCACGATGTCCTCTGCCCAAGATACCATTACCAATATCTCCATCAACAAGTTCGACGGAGGCAACCACGCGACATGGAGCCGCTACGTGCGTGGCGTGTTCCTGACTAAGTCGACGTGGTACGTGGTGATCCGGAAGACGTCGCCGACCTATGCGGACGATCGCTCCATGGACGTCTACGTCAAGACAAATAACATCGTGTTCGTACTGATGTCGCATCACATGGACGCCGACTACCATCACATCGTCGATGATTGTGAGGAAGCGTGGGTCGTGTGGGCGCGTTTGAAGACACTGTACGGTGGGTCGCAGAAGGCTGGGCAAATCTACTTGAAGCGCCAGCTGGTCAGCATGGAGATGGCGGAAGGCGGCAATGTGATGCATCACATTGCCATGAAGTCCTCAGCATCGGCGCGAAGATAAGCAGCATCGGAGCCAAGATGGAGGACGAGGACGTGGCGATCTGCTTGTTGCGCAGCCTCCCTAAACGCTACGAGAATGTCGTGTTAAACTTGTAGTTGAGCAGCGCTGCAATCGCGAGACGTCGTGATGTGCTCACAAATGAGCACATCAAGAGACAAGGTGACAAGACGATATCGGTGGAGACTGGAGACGCGGAGAAGGCGTTCAGTGCTGAGCGTGAACCTCGCCAGTGTACGTACTGCGGCAAATTGGGGCACAAGGCGGAGCGGTGCTGGACCAAGAAGAAGGACGAAAACATAGGAGGAGCTCTACGCGCCGGCAACAATGCTCGTGGACGCGGAGCCAACAACGTTCAGTGGCGATTCCACAACAACTACGACGACGACTACGATTGAGTTGCGTTTGTGGTTTCGCTGGAGGCTGGATTTTCAATGGGCAAGAATATGCCAAGGATGTGGGCGGTCGACAGCGGTGCGACGCATCGCATCTGAAACGGCAAGGCCAAGTTTACAAGCCTGAATGAGCGAGAAGAAGGCAAACTATCGGTGGCTGATGGCAGCAAAGGCTGCGATCAAGGGCGTGGGAACCATCATGGAACGAGAGGTTCTGCCCAGTGGTGACGGGCGCGACATCGAGATCAAGGACGAACTGTTCGTGCCAAGTATGAGCAAGGATCTGCTTTCGGTACTGTAGATCAACAAGGGTCGCAAGTTCCAAGTCGTGTTCGATGGGTCCAAGATGCAAGTAACGCGCAAGAATTCCAAGCAAGTTGTGATGACAGCGGATCCCGTCGACGGAATTTACTGGCTGCGGTCTCCTCAACGATCGACTGATGCAGCGACACACAATGGGGCCATCGACTTTCGCACGCGCATGGGTCATGCATCCCTCGATGCTCTGCGCAAGATGATGGCCACCGGCATGATCAAGGAATCCAATGCACCTCTCTCATCGACTGAGCCAAGTGTGTGTCGTGGTTGCCAGCACGGGAAGATGGTCCAAAAACCATTCCCAACCAACCCTGACAAGTGTCACTATGGTGTGTTTGAATTGCTACAATTCGACATCTGCGGGCCAATGTAACAAGTATTGATCAGCAGCACCAGATACTAGCTGCTTGTGGTCGACGATGCCAGCGGGTGCATGAAGGTCTTCTGTCTGCGGTCCAAGTCTGATAGTGAAGACTGCACCAAGAACTAGATTCTCAAGATTCAGACGCAGTTCGGCAAGAAGATCAAGTTGGTTCGGCATAATGGAGCGCATGAGTTCGCGAACAACTCGATCAAGATCTTCTACGAAGATCAAGGTATAGAGCAGCAGGTCACAGTGCCGTATGCACACCAGACCAACGGCACTGCAGAACGCGCAATACGGACCATCGTCACGATCGGACGCAGCTTGCTGCATCATGCAAATCTGGAGAGGTGTTTCTGGGCTGAAGCGGCAATGAAGGCGATCTACATCAAGAACCGACTGCCTTCACCCAAGATCGACCACAAGACTCCGTTCGAGATCGTGTACAAGTCGAAACCAAGTATCAAGCACATGCGTGTGTTTGGATGTTAAGCGTACATCCTGACACTAAAGGTGAAGCGACTGAAGTGTGACTCGAAGGCTCGTGTACGGATGTTCATGGGCTACGAAGAAGCGTCAAATGCGTACCGAGATTGGTGCAACGCACCACATTTGCCACGACAAGATTAAGTTTGTCAGCAGGCGCAATGAGGGCGAACTATCGGTGGCTGATGGCAGCAAGCAGGCCATCAAGGGTGTGGGAACCATATTGGAAAAAGTTGGTTCTTACCAACGGTGAAGAGCGTAGGATCGATATCAAGAACGCGTTATATGTTCCAAGTATGAGCAAAAACGTGCTTTCGGTGCCACAGATCAACAGGCATGGCAAATTCCAAGTCGTGTTTGACGGGTACAAGATGTATGTGACTCTCAAGAACTCACAGCAAGTGATGGCGACAGAGGATCTCGTGGATGGACTTTACTGGATTTGTACGTGTTGAAGGTATGGCACGGAAGTGACGAGAAGACCGGAAGAGACCGGAGGGAGCGAAGAGTCTTGAGGAGCGGAGCAGAGAAGACTTGCTCGGCAGAAGGGGAATCCGAAAGTGATTGATTATCGGGGCTTACTACTTACTACATGATTTATTTGTGGTGCACATATAAATCATGTGAAGCGTCTCGTCATCCTACGCGTCTAATCAACTATGGTAATTACCGTAAGAACTACGTCGTAAATACGAAGCTGAAGAGGCGGTTTGGATTGTACCGGTCACGGTTACCAACACTGGTAGGAAACCGATGACCGTCAACAACTGTGTAGTTCTTATGGGATCGTTTTTACGTCGGTAATTTTGCAGGAAAGATTAGAATAGCAGGGTGATTAGACGCGCCGACCGACTTATATGTGGACGCATGTAAATCAGGGCGTAGGCAGATAAGCTCCGATAATCAATCACTTTCCAGTCTCCCATCTACTGCCCAAATGTCTTCTCTCGTCTTCCGAGTGGACTTTTCAGCATCCTTCCCAGTTTCGGTCATCAATCTTCGCACCTTTCAACAGGTTATGAGCCCAAGCACGATGTCCTCTGCCCAAGATACCATTACCAATATCTCCATCAACAAGTTCGACGGAGGCAACCACGCGACATGGAGCCGCTACGTGCGTGGCGTGTTCCTGACTAAGTCGACGTGGTACGTGGTGATCCGGAAGACGTCGCCGACCTATGCGGACGATCGCTCCATGGACGTCTACGTCAAGACACATAACATCGTGTTCGTACTGATGTTGCATCACATGGACGCCGACTACCATCACATCGTCAATGATTGTGAGGAAGCGTGGGTCGTGTGGGCGCGTTTGAAGACACTGTACGGTGGGTCGCAGAAGGCTGGGCAAATCTACTTGAAGCGCCAGCTGTTCAGCATGGAGATGGCGGAAGGCGGCAATGTGATGCATCACATTGCCATGAAGTCCTCAGCATCGGCGCGAAGATAAGCAGCATCGGTGCCAAGATGGAGGACGAGGACGTGGCGATCTGCTTGTTGCGCAGCCTCCCTAAACGCTACGAGAATGTCGTGTTAAACTTGTAGTTGAGCAGCGCTGCAATCGCGAGACGTCGTGATGTGCTCACAAATGAGCACATCAAGAGACAAGGTGACAAGACGATATCGGTGGAGACTGGAGACGCGGAGAAGGCGTTCAGTGCTGAGCGTGAACCTCGCCAGTGTACGTACTGCGGCAAATTGGGGCACACGGCGGAGCGGTGCTGGACCAAGAAGAAGGACGAAAACATAGGAGGAGCTCTACGCGCCGGCAACAATGCTCGTAGACGCGGAGCCGACAACGTTCAGTGGCGATTCCACAACAACTACGACGACGACTACGATTGAGTTGCGTTTGTGGTTTCGCTGGAGGCTGGATTTTCAATGGGCAAGAATATGCCAAGGATGTGGGCGGTCGACAGCGGTGCGACGCATCACATCTGCAACGACAAGGCCAAGTTTGCAAGCCTGAATGAGCGAGAAGAAGGCAAACTATCGGTGGCTGATGGCAGCAAAGGCTGCGATCAAGGGTGTGGGAACCATCATGGAACGGGAGGTTCTGCCCAGTGGTGACGGGCGCGACATCGAGATCAAGGACGAACTGTTCGTGCCAAGTATGAGCAAGGATCTGCTTTCGGTACTGTAGATCAACAAGGGTCGCAAGTTCCAAGTCGTGTTCGATGGGTCCAAGATGCAAGTAACGCGCAAGAATTCCAAGCAAGTTGTGATGACAGCGGATCCCGTCGACGGAATTTACTGGCTGCGGTCTCCTCAACGATCGACTGATGCAGCGACACACAATGGGGCCATCGACTTTCGCACGCGCATGGGTCATGCATCCCTCGATGCTCTGCGCAAGATGATGGCCACCGGCATGATCAAGGAATCCAATGCACCTCTCTCATCGACTGAGCCAAGTGTGTGTCGTGGTTGCCAGCACGGGAAGATGGTCCAAAAACCATTCCCAACCAACCGTGACAAGTGTCACTATGGTGTGTTTGAATTGCTACAATTCGACATCTGCGGGCCAATGTAACAAGTATTGATCAGCAGCACCAGATACTAGCTGCTTGTGGTCGACGATGCCAGCGGGTGAATGAAGGTCTTCTGTCTGCGGTCCAAGTCTGATAGTGAAGACTGCACCAAGAACTAGATTCTCAAGATTCAGACGCAGTTCGGCAAGAAGATCAAGTTCGTTCGGCATGATGGAGCGCATGAGTTTGCGAACAACTCGATCAAGACCTTCTACGAAGATCAAGGTATAGAGCAGCAGGTCACAGTGCCGTATGCACACTAGACCAACGGCACTGCAGAACGCGCAATACGGACCATCGTCACGATCGGACGCAGCTTGCTGCATCATGCAAATCTGGAGAGGTGTCTCTGGGCTGAAGCGGCAATGAAGGCGATCTACATCAAGAACCGACTGCCTTCACCCAAGATCGACCACAAGACTCCGTTCGAGATCGTGTACAAGTCGAAACCAAGTATCAAGCACATGCGTGTGTTTGGATGTTAAGCGTACATCCTGACACTAAAGGTGAAGCGACTGAAGTGTGACTCGAAGGCTCGTGTACGGATGTTCATGGGCTACGAAGAAGCGTCAAATGCGTACCGAGATTAGTGCAACGCACCACATTTGCCACGACAAGATTAAGTTTGTCAGCAGGCGCAATGAGGGCGAACTATCGGTGGCTGATGGCAGCAAGCAGGCCATCAAGGGTGTGGGAACCATATTGGAAAAAGTTGGTTCTTACCAACGGTGAAGAGCGTAGGATCGATATCAAGAACGCTTTACATGTTCCAAGTATGAGCAAAAACGTGCTTTCGGTGCCACAGATCAACAGGCATGGCAAATTCCAAGTCGTGTTTGACGGGTACAAGATGTATGTGACTCTCAAGAACTCACAGCAAGTGATGGCGACAGAGGATCTCGTGGATGGACTTTACAGGATTTGTACGTGTTGAAGGTATGGCACGGAAGTGACGAGAAGACCGGAAGAGACCGGAGGGAGCGAAGAGTCTTGAGGAGCGGTGCAGAGAAGACTTGCTCGGCAGAAGGGGAATCCGAAAGTGATTGATCATCGGGGCTTACTACTTACTACATGATTTATTTGTGGTGCACATATAAATCATGTGAAGCGTATCGTCATCCTACGCGTCTAATCAACTATGGTAATTACCGTAAGAACTACGTCGTAAATACGAAGCTGAAGAGGCGGTTTGGATTGGACCGGTCACGGTTACCAACACTGGTAGGAAACCGATGACCGTCAACAACTGTGTAGTTCTTATGGGATCGTTTTTACGTCGGTAATTTTGCAGGAAAGATTAGAATAGCAGGGTGATTAGACGCGCCGACCGACTTATATGTGGACGCATGTAAATCAGGGCGTAGGCAGATAAGCTCCGATAATCAATCACTTTCCAGTCTCCCATCTACTGCCCAAATGTCTTCTCTCGTCTTCCGAGTGGACTTTTCAGCATCCTTCCCAGTTTCGGTCATCAATCTTCGCACCTTTCAACAGGTTATGAGCCCAAGCACGATGTCCTCTGCCCAAGATACCATTACCAATATCTCCATCAACAAGTTCGACGGAGGCAACCACGCGACATGGAGCCGCTACGTGCGTGGCGTGTTCCTGACTAAGTCGACGTGGTACGTGGTGATCCGGAAGACGTCGCCGACCTATGCGGACGATCGCTCCATGGACGTCTACGTCAAGACACATAACATCGTGTTCGTACTGATGTTGCATCACATGGACGCCGACTACCATCACATCGTCAATGATTGTGAGGAAGCGTGGGTCGTGTGGGCGCGTTTGAAGACACTGTACGGTGGGTCGCAGAAGGCTGGGCAAATCTACTTGAAGCGCCAGCTGTTCAGCATGGAGATGGCGGAAGGCGGCAATGTGATGCATCACATTGCCATGAAGTCCTCAGCATCGGCGCGAAGATAAGCAGCATCGGTGCCAAGATGGAGGACGAGGACGTGGCGATCTGCTTGTTGCGCAGCCTCCCTAAACGCTACGAGAATGTCGTGTTAAACTTGTAGTTGAGCAGCGCTGCAATCGCGAGACGTCGTGATGTGCTCACAAATGAGCACATCAAGAGACAAGGTGACAAGACGATATCGGTGGAGACTGGAGACGCGGAGAAGGCGTTCAGTGCTGAGCGTGAACCTCGCCAGTGTACGTACTGCGGCAAATTGGGGCACACGGCGGAGCGGTGCTGGACCAAGAAGAAGGACGAAAACATAGGAGGAGCTCTACGCGCCGGCAACAATGCTCGTAGACGCGGAGCCAACAACGTTCAGTGGCGATTCCACAACAACTACGACGACGACTACGATTGAGTTGCGTTTGTGGTTTCGCTGAAAACTGGATTTTCAATGGGCAAGAATATGCCAAGGATGTGGGCGGTCGACAGCGGTGCGACGCATCACATCTGCAACGACAAGGCCAAGTTTGCAAGCCTGAATGAGCGAGAAGAAGGCAAACTATCGGTGGCTGATGGCAGCAAAGGCTGCGATCAAGGGTGTGGGAACCATCATGGAACGGGAGGTTCTGCCCAGTGGTGACGGGCGCGACATCGAGATCAAGGACGAACTGTTCGTGTTAAGTATGAGCAAGGATCTGCTTTCGGTACTGTAGATCAACAAGGGTCGCAAGTTCCAAGTCGTGTTCGATGGGTCCAAGATGCAAGTAACGCGCAAGAATTCCAAGCAAGTTGTGATGACAGCGGATCCCGTCGACGGAATTTACTGGCTGCGGTCTCCTCAACGATCGACTGATGCAGCGACACACAATGGGGCCATCGACTTTCGCACGCGCATGGGTCATGCATCCCTCGATGCTCTGCGCAAGATGATGGCCACCGGCATGATCAAGGAATCCAATGCACCTCTCTCATCGACTGAGCCAAGTGTGTGTCGTGGTTGCCAGCACGGGAAGATGGTCCAAAAACCATTCCCAACCAACCGTGACAAGTGTCACTATGGTGTGTTTGAATTGCTACAATTCGACATCTGCGGGCCAATGTAACAAGTATTGATCAGCAGCACCAGATACTAGCTGCTTGTGGTCGACGATGCCAGCGGGTGAATGAAGGTCTTCTGTCTGCGGTCCAAGTCTGATAGTGAAGACTGCACCAAGAACTAGATTCTCAAGATTCAGACGCAGTTCGGCAAGAAGATCAAGTTCGTTCGGCATGATGGAGCGCATGAGTTTGCGAACAACTCGATCAAGACCTTCTACGAAGATCAAGGTATAGAGCAGCAGGTCACAGTGCCGTATGCACACCAGACCAACGGCACTGCAGAACGCGCAATACGGACCATCGTCACGATCGGACGCAGCTTGCTGCATCATGCAAATCTGGAGAGGTGTCTCTGGGCTGAAGCGGCAATGAAGGCGATCTACATCAAGAACCGACTGCCTTCACCCAAGATCGACCACAAGACTCCGTTCGAGATCGTGTACAAGTCGAAACCAAGTATCAAGCACATGCGTGTGTTTGGATGTTAAGCGTACATCCTGACACTAAAGGTGAAGCGACTGAAGTGTGACTCGAAGGCTCGTGTACGGATGTTCATGGGCTACGAAGAAGCGTCAAATGCGTACCGAGATTGGTGCAACGCACCACATTTGCCACGACAAGATTAAGTTTGTCAGCAGGCGCAATGAGGGCGAACTATCGGTGGCTGATGGCAGCAAGCAGGCCATCAAGGGTGTGGGAACCATATTGGAAAAAGTTGGTTCTTACCAACGGTGAAGAGCGTAGGATCGATATCAAGAACGCTTTACATGTTCCAAGTATGAGCAAAAACGTGCTTTCGGTGCCACAGATCAACAGGCATGGCAAATTCCAAGTCGTGTTTGACGGGTACAAGATGTATGTGACTCTCAAGAACTCACAGCAAGTGATGGCGACAGAGGATCTCGTGGATGGACTTTACAGGATTTGTACGTGTTGAAGGTATGGCACGGAAGTGACGAGAAGACCGGAAGAGACCGGAGGGAGCGAAGAGGCTTGAGGAGCGGTGCAGAGAAGACTTGCTCGGCAGAAGGGGAATCCGAAAGTGATTGATCATCGGGGCTTACTACTTACTACATGATTTATTTGTGGTGCACATATAAATCATGTGAAGCGTATCGTCATCCTACGCGTCTAATCAACTATGGTAATTACCGTAAGAACTACGTCGTAAATACGAAGCTGAAGAGGCGGTTCGGATTGGACCGGTCACGGTTACCAACACTGGTAGGAAACCGATGACCGTCAACAACTGTGTAGTTCTTATGGGATCGTTTTTACGTCGGTAATTTTGCAGAAAAGATTAGAATAGCAGGGTGATTAGACGCGCCGACCGACTTATGTGTGGACGCATGTAAATCAGGGCGTAGGCAGATAAGCTCCGATAATCAATCACTTTCCAGTCTCCCATCTACTGCCCAAGTGTCTTCTCTCGTCTTCCGAGTGGACTTTTCAGCATCCTTCCCAGTTTCGGTCATCAATCTTCGCACCTTTCAACAGGTTATGAGCCCAAGCACGATGTCCTCTGCCCAAGATACCATTACCAATATCTCCATCAACAAGTTCGACGGATACAACCACGCGACATGGAGCCGCTACGTGCGTGGCGTGTTCCTGACTAAGTCGACGTGGTACGTGGTGATCCGGAAGACGTCGCCGACCTATGCGGACGATCGCTCCATGGACGTCTACGTCAAGACAAATAACATCGTGTTCGTACTGATGTCGCATCACATGGACGCCGACTACCATCACATCGTCGATGATTGTGAGGAAGCGTGGGTCGTGTGGGCGCGTTTGAAGACACTGTACGGTGGGTCGCAGAAGGCTGGGCAAATCTACTTGAAGCGCCAGCTGTTCAGCATGGAGATGGCAGAAGGCGGCAATGTGATGCATCACATTGCCATGAAGTCCTCAGCATCGGCGCGAAGATAAGCAGCATCGGAGCCAAGATGGAGGATGAGGACGTGGCGATCTGCTTGTTGCGCAGCCTCCCTAAACGCTACGAGAATGTCGTGTTAAACTTGTAGTTGAGCAGCGCTGCAATCGCGAGACGTCGTGATGTGCTCACAAATGAGCACATCAAGAGACAAGGTGACAAGACGATATCGGTGGAGACTGGAGACGCGGAGAAGGCGTTCAGTGCTGAGCGTGAACCTCGCCAGTGTACGTACTGCGGCAAATTGGGGCACACGGCGGAGCGGTGCTGGACCAAGAAGAAGGACGAAAACATAGGAGGAGCTCTACGCGCCGGCAACAATGCTCGTGGACGCGGAGCCAACAACGTTCAGTGGCGATTCCACAACAACTACGACGACGACTACGATTGAGTTGCGTTTGTGGTTTCGCTGGAGGCTGGATTTTCAATGGGCAAGAATATGCCAAGGATGTGGGCGGTCGACAGCGGTGCGACGCATCGCATCTGAAACGGCAAGGCCAAGTTTACAAGCCTGAATGAGCGAGAAGAAGGCAAACTATCGG